TGGATTTCTCCCAAGGAGCAATACGACGCCTACTTGAAATACGCATACGAGAAGAAGCTCATCGAGACGGGATCCCCCGTTGCGTTGAAGTTGGAGCAGCAATGGCGCATTTGCCGCACCTCGCTAGCCGTCTCGAACACTGTCGATTTCTCCGAGTGCGAGGCTGTCTTGCAGAGCCTGCTCGAGCAGACGGCCAAGGTGAACTCCAAGGGCGAGCGCGAGTGCATCAACATGTACGACATCCGCCTCCGCGACACCTACCCTTCGTGCGGCATGAACTGGCCCCCAGACTTGGTCAACGTCACCCCTTACTTGCGCAAAACCGAAGTTGTCAACGCCCTGCACATTAACCCCCAGAAGAACACCGGATGGAAGGAATGCAACGGTGCCGTTGGTGCCGCTTTCAGAGCTCCCAACTCTGCACCGTCGAGAGATTTCCTTCCCGATCTCCTCAAGGAGGTTCCCATTGTTTTGTTCTCCGGCGCCGAGGATCTTATCTGCAACCACATGGGAACCGAACAGATGATTGGCGACATGGAATGGAACGGCGGCAAGGGTTTCGAGCTCACTCCCGGCAACTGGGCTCCTCGCCGCGACTGGACGGTCGAGGGTGAAGCTGCTGGTTTCTGGCAGGAGGCCCGCAACCTCACCTACATTCTCTTCTACAACTCTTCTCACATGGTGCCCTTCGACTACGCTCGCCGAAGTCGCGATATGCTTGACCGTGTCATGAAGGTCGACATCAGCTCTGTTGGCGGCACGCCTACCGACTCCCGACTCGACGGCGAGACCGGCCCAGCCACCTCGGTCGGCAACATTGGCAACAGCACCTCCGACGACGAGGAAACGCAGAAGAAGCTGGACGATGCGAAATGGAAGGCATACTACCGCTCGGGCGAGATTGTCCTCATCATTGTCATCATCGCAGCGGGTGCTTGGGGTTGGTACGTCTGGAAGGAGCGCCGCAAGCGCAGGGGCTACTCTGGCATTATGGGCAATACCCCTCCTACCACTCAAAGAGGCGCCGCGCGTGGTCTCGAGGGATTCCGTGATCGCAGGACTGGTCGTGACGTTGAGACGGGCGATTTCGATGAGAGCGAACTGGACGACTTGCACGTAACGACACCAACGATGGATAAGGACCGCTACAGTGTGGGAGGCGATAGCGATGATGAGGCTCATGAGAAGCCCTCCAGACCAAACGGCAGCCGCTCAGCGCGGTAAAAGAGTCAACGGCAGCTTTGCAATGATATGCGAGGTTGGCACAGGTCGAACACTATCATTGATGCTCCTCCAAACAATGCATGGAAAGTCTAGCGAAGGTTATCTTTTTTCAAAGGGCAGAGGATGAATGAACATTAGGCTTCCGCACGGAAACGGAGTTTTATGCGATGTCTGAATAGGGATAGAAGCAAGAAGATATTTTTTCGTTCCATAGGGAAAATTTGGTTATTTTTCGTCTTGGCTACGGCCTGATACTTGAAGGATGCATCTACAGTTTCCCCATGCGAGTCGTGCCTTTGTCCTATGCCAATGATTTGTATCTCTTCTCAAAGTCTAATCAGACTAGAGTTGTCCATTTTGTCCTACGCCCAAAACGCCCTCTTTCTCAAATGAAAGCGCCCTTTTGAAAAAGTACCAATTTGACTTTGTTCGCCCAATGAACCGAACCGCCACCCAATGATTTGATGTTTCCCCCAACCCCCCTCGAGTAAAACGACATGCGTCTTGCAGATGGATATATGTGTGTGTGTTGTATGTGCCAGGCTTTCCTTTCCGTACCATGACTTTGTAAACGCCAGTCGTTTGTCTTTGTTGTGTTGTTGTTGTTGTTGTCCCCGGAAAAAAAAGAGTATTGACAGTTGAAGTGAGAGAAATTTCGCAAGAGAAGTTGCGTGCCTTTTTACAACTGGATATCGTTGTTGAGGATCCGCACCTCCTCGCCGGGCTTGAAGGGCGGGAGACCGATGTAGGGGCAGCCGTCGCACCGGAAGGCGTCGCCGAGGGCGCAGTTCCCGCAGGAGCCTACTTTTCCTTGGACGGTGAAGTCGACCTCGGCGAGGTCGTCCGCGCCGAGCTTGACTGCGGCGGACGCGGACGCGGACGCGAGGGCCTTGTCGGCGGAGGCGCGGGCGGCGTCGTCCTCGGCTGCGAGGCGCTCTGCTAGGCCGCAGGTGCAGTCTTTGCAGGCGCGGCGGCGTTTTCCTGCCTTGGGGGCGCATTCGGGGGCTGTTTTTGGGGGGGTTTGTTAGTTGCGTTGCTGCTTTTGGGGGGAAGAATCCCTTGAAGAGGGAGGGAGAGAGAGGGGAGAGGAATGGGGTAGATGGGGGTTGACGTACGGATGTTGATGGGGCGCGAGAGGTCTGCGTCCGTGAGGAGGGTGTCCTCGTCAATGAGGTCGTCGTCGTCCATGTCGAGGTCGTCGCTGAAGTCGACGAAGCCTACGCCCGCGGGGGGCGCGGAGACCGGGGGCGCGGTGGAGGGCTTGCTGCCGAGGGAGACGGCGCCTCCGTTGTTGAGTGAGACGGCGCCGTCACCATTGACGACGCCGAGCTTCTTCTTCTTGCTGCCGAAGCTCAACGAAACGACCTGGTCTTCGCCGTACTCCGGCTTCGTGAAGCCGCCGCCGCCAGCCGAGACGAGACCGGCGAGGACGGCCTCGCGCGCGACGGCGGGGTCGTTTGCGAGGTTGCCGCCGTCTTGCGCCCTGACGTGGGCGCCGGGCTTGAGAGACTCCGCGACGGCGGAGAGGACCGCGCCGCGGTCTTGCGCCAGGAGGGCGGTGGATTCGACGCGGGAGCCGTCCGCGTCTGTGAGGACGAGGACGGCGTCGTAGGTTGCGGGGGGGAGGGCGACGAGGCGGGCGGCGAGGCGGTCGAGCATCTGGAGGTCTGTCGTGGCGCGGTCGTGGGTTGCGAGGAGGGATTGGAGCTTGTGGGGGTGGGACGCTGCGGAGGGGGGCGCGAGGAGGAGGGTGCGGGTTGGGGAGTGCATCGCGGGCGCGGTGGTTGTGGTGGCGGGGGTGAAGTCGAAGTCGGGGGTTGTGTCGAGGGTCACGAAGGAGGGTGCCATTTTGGGGAGATGGGTGACTCTTTTGTTGGGGTGCGAAGTGGTTTTTTCTCTTCGTTGTTTGCGGTGTGTGTGAAGATTGTCGGTGGGAGAAGGGGGGAAATGTGAAGGGGGTTCGGGAAAGGTTGTATAGGATATAGAGAGGTTGTGCGGTTGCGTTCTTTTTGCGGAATTGATTTGAGGAAGTTCCTGGGCTTGGATTAGTCAATGACCGAGAAGGACGGCAAGAGAGAGAGAAAAAAAAATAAAAACCACAAGAACTGTGTAGCGGGTTGTGAACGTACTGTAGGATGGCGGTGCTTGATAAGCGTGGAAAGGGTGAGGGGTCGGCGGGGTGGGCACCGTAATCTGGCAAGGGTTGTCACACGGTATTGCGTAGGTCCTGGTTCTGGCGGTGGGTTTGGATCGGGGTCGGGTACGGGAGTAGACGAGGATTGAAGTGAGGCCTTGTTGTTGTATGTCGATGGACGTGGAGCGCGTAATGGGAGGGAACGGGAGGAGAGGAGGGGGGGGGGAAGGTAAGTAATTAAGTGGACGTCGGGAAAAGGGTCCTGGGACGGAGATGCACGATTCTTTGCCTACAGATCTTTATCAGATCTCTTGTCTCTGTTGTGCTTACGTTTACGGCGAAAATGAAGAGGCAAGGTACAACTAGGTATGTAAGGCAAGGTAGGGTGCCCGTGGATTTAGGGGTCCGAAAGCGGCGGCTAAAAAAGCATCCCCGCCCCCATCTACGCAGTAAAAAAAAGTTGACACTCACAATCACGAGCATGACATAGATGGGAAAAAAGCAGACACGGCAGACGCCAGAGTGACAGAAGCGACAAGGGGGTGGTGGTTGGAAATGCTGACGCTGCATTACTCCCGTACATACGGAGTACAGTTACTCCTAGGACCTCTGGGATGGGGACAAATTGGCCCAACCAGCGATTCTGCAATCCTCATTTCCAAACAACCACCCTTTCTACCTTTTTAACCCGTATTTCCTCGGCGGATACCCGCTGCAAATTCTCACTCGTAATGACTTTTCTCTTAGCCTCTTTTTTTCCCCCCAAGGTGTGGGCGGCAAGAATTGGGAGGTCATGGACTGGACTGGACCGCACAGGGGACTTGACGGTCGGCGCCGCGGACAATGCACCGTGGCCACAGTGGGAATGACCGCTGACCAAACTGACAAAGGTGCATTCTCCGCAAGGTCATTGGTCGACTACGAAGTATAACCCCCCCTTGGCGATGTTCATCCCTGCCCGACCGAGTCCCCCTTGGGCTCTTCTCGGGCTCCCCTTTCGCGGGGTCCAGTTCTGCAGGACTGTAACCCCCCTCCAGTGGCCCCCTCGCCATTCGGCTGCTGCAACCTGCGATTCGGAACCCTGATTAAGCAGATTCTGCCGGGATCGGGTCGGATTGCTCCCTTGAGTAAGGTAAGGTTCGACACACGGGAGATACGGAGTACCAGAGCCGTGTTGGCCGTTTCTGTTTGTCATCTCGTCCGGCCGGCTGCGGACTGGTTCCCTTATGCCTTCCTTGGCAAACCTCCCCCCGCGCGCGCGCGACGATAATCACCGTCGGCCTTTATGGCCTGCTACGCCTTTACCTACCTTACCTACCTATCTTGAGGTGCCTCAAGGTAGGCGAGGAAACTAGTCCGCTAGGTAAGGGTAGGTAGGCAAGTGAGTGATGTCAAGTCCATTGCCAAACTTTTGATTCGTCCCCAAGTGACCGGGTACTATATGCATTGTGATACATGAGAAAATTACTCGCTGGAGCTTTTGTCGTCTTGTTCTCCAGACGTCGGTTCCAATATCCCGTGAGCCTCAACGCCGGTCCCGGAAAGTTGCCTCCTCTATAGCTGCTCCACACCTCGACAACGACGACGACGACGTCGTCGACCGCAGTGACAACATGCTCCATGATGTGACTCGCGAACCCCTCTACAACTTGAAGCTGCTGCTCGTCGCCTTGACCTCCGCCTTGGCCTTGTTCCCGTCGAGCCCGACAACCTCGCCCTTGCGGTTGATCACCTTGACCCCGCCCTTCTTCAAATCCGCCATCGTGTCCTTCTGCATCTGCGCCTTCTTGCCGAGCGGCTTCTTGTCCGTCCCGCCCGCCTTGCGGATCCTCTCCTTCTCCCGCCGGCGCCGCCGCACCTTGTCCTCCCGCGACATCTCCTCCCGCGCCATCGGCAGCCCGCTCTTGCCCAGCACCACCTCGCCCTTCTCCGCCGTCTCCTTGCCGGCCTTGTACACCTCCTGCGGCGCGATCATGCTCTGCCCGCCGCTGACCCCCTGCGCCGTCGCCGGCTGCGCGTCCTCCATCGCGATCGTCGCCGCGTCCGACACCACCGTCAGCGACGGCGCCGCCGCCTTGGGCTTGTAGTGCCAGTTGCTCAGCGAGTCCAGCTTGGCGCTCAGGTCCTTCCACATGCGCTCGATCTCCGCCTCTTCCTTGGCGAGCTTCTCGTCCGACTTGCTGACGTAGTTGTCCGGGTCCGCGTTCTTGACGTGCTCCTCCTCGTAGATCTCCGCCAGGCCCTTGCCGGACTTGGCGTCGTCCAGCTCGACCAGGCCCCGGCGCGTGTTCTCGGGCATGTTCTCCGCGCCGGGCCGGCGCCGGGCGACCTCGTCAAAGTCCTGCGCCAGGATCCTCCGCTTGATGAGCTCCTCGATGCTCTCGCTGACCTCGGCCGTGATGATGGGGACGGGCTTGCCCAGGTGCTCAAACGACATGTCCTCCTCGAGCAGCGAGTTCATCGGGCGCTCGGCGGCGGACGCCTCGCCGGTCAGGGTCCACTGGCGCTTGGCGACCGACTCGGCCTCGAGCTTGCGGATCTCCTCGGCGAGCTTGGCCTGGCGCCTCTCGTGCGCGGACCGGCGCGACCGCGGGTCGCCCGCCGAGGCGTCGGACAGGGCGTCGTCCGAGTCGTCTCCGTGGTCAGAGTCGTCGTCAAAGAGGTCCTTCTTGACGTCCGCCATGGCGCGCTCGACGTCCTCCTCCTGGACCGCCTTGGGCGCGAACCGCACGGACTTGTTCTTCTTGTATTTGCCGTCCTTGGACGCCTTCTTCGCCGGCGGCGCGAAGAAGTCCTTGAAGTAGATGCCGTTCGCGTTGAACTCCTCCTCCTCGTTGTCCATGGCGTCGTCCATGTCCTCGTCATCACTGGCACCCTCGGGGGCGTTGAGGTCCATGTCGCCGAATGTGGGCCCGTCGTCTTCCGAGTCCTCCTCGTCCGAGCCGGCGTCGTCTTCCATATCCATGTCCGTGTCCTTGTTTTTTGATGAGCTGGACTTGGCTGATGGTGCCATGGGGTCGGCGTTCCAGTCGATGTCTTCGTCGTCGCTGTTGGCGTCCGTGTTGGGGTCTCCTCGCGCGTCCTGCTCTTCGAACCACTGGGTTTGCTTGTTGAAGGCGTCGATTGAGAAGAAACCGTCGTTGAGACCGTTGGGATCCTCAACGTATTCCTCCTCATCATCCTCTTCTTCCTCCTCGTCTTCTTCGCCATCCTCTTCCTCATTGTCTTCGTCCATGTCTTCGAGATCACCCGTGAGACCCTCAACGTCCGAGCCCTCGAGCTCCTCCGCATCAGAGTCCTCTTCGGCGTCTTCCAGATCAGAGCCTGACAGCTCTTCCTCGTCACTGGAGCCCTCTTCGTCGTCGTCAATATCTTCGGAAGCCGTCTCGAAAGAGAGAATAGAGCTCTCTGAACCATTGTCCTCGTTCGTGACAACCTCATTCCGGTCCTCGAGCTCCTGTAGTGTCTCCTTGGAGTGGTTCAAAGCGCTCTGAATGATACGACGGGCCTGCTGCCAGACCTGGCTCGTCTCGAACCCGTCAACATGGACCTTGCGAATCTTGAGAACATCGGGTCTCGCGCCGCCGCCGTCAGCCCGCTTGCGCTTCTTCGTCGCCTCCTTGAGCAGGCGCAGCTGCTCGTCGCTAATCTGGCCGGCGAACGCATCGAGCGTGTCCTTGACGACCTGCAGAGAGGCGGACGGGATCGCGGGCGGCGGTTGGAGAAAGGCGTGTCGGTTCTGGGCGTCCAGGTTGTCGAAGAGGGCCTTTACGTCGACGACGCCGCCGTTGGGGAGCTGAGCGGCCATGCCGGGCGCAAATGTGAGGGTATTTGACGTCAGGGAGGAAGATGTGCTGCTGCCCGCCGCCATGATACTGTTTTTTTTTAATCGTGGCTCGCTCCCTCGGAATATGCGTGTTTCGGCCGTGCAAGAATTGGACTTTTTATTTTTTTGGTCGGACATGGGCTTGCGCTCTCCGTCAAAAAAATTTGGGACCCCGCAAAACGTCCGGGTTCGTGGGTCTAATCATGATTGGCCAATGAGATCTACGCTGCCTGTCAAACCGCGTTAGCTAATCGCTACAGTTCATCCGTTCTGCACCCTTTTGGGTCGGCACGTATGGAATGATAGTCTCGCCATTGATTGCAAAGTGCAATCACTTGATGGTAGTATGTAAGACTATTGAATCGAAGTCGGAAGAACCTTACACAGAATCTTGTCAGCTACCTTGAATAGCGAAGTCCGAGGAACCAAGATTGGTTCAGATTGACCTCCGCCACTTTTATAGTCCAAACAAGTTGCAGTTATATTGAGAAGCTTCTAAGACGAATACCTGCATGAAGTTCGTGTACATTATTTGCTTGTGCCAGACGTCCGTCGTTGAATGCCCGCTGCTGCACTGTTGGTAAGATTCCAGAACGTCCCGGCGCGGTGGTGGGGCCGATCTGATCCCATGATTAAGGTACCTCCGAAAGATTACTAAGAACGGCGAGACCCCAATGGCCTCGACTTACACATCCCAGCCCGTCGGAACTTGCTTCGTCTCACACACTACTCTGGAATCCAAGGTATCTATAAGCTATCGGTGCCAGATTTTCACAAGCCAAGCTCCTTGTCAGGCCAAAACACTATAGCAGTTTTGACCCAAGAAACACGCGCAAATCGGTCTCATACGTAAGTCTTCCTTCTGGTTCTGACTCTAGAGTGGAGAAGCACCCAGTTGAACCCTTGAGCTCTTGTTACACCTTTGCCATCTTGAAGCATCTCCTTCTTTCATCGTCATCTTTAGGATGCCATGGAAATACACTCCCAGTTTCATCCCGCTCGATCATTTGGATGAGAGATTCAATCACGGTATTCCCCATATGACTCACAAGCTAAACCTCTGAGCAGCACCGTCAAAACGAGGCGCGACTTCCCACTTAGACGCACTTTAAGTGAAAGGAAAAGAGGCTTAAGTCAGATTTCAGCTTGAAGAAAGAACGCCACAATCAGAGAATCCGCCATTCGCCGAAGGCGACGGATAGCCACGTTCTGGCACCCTCCGCGTCCGCAAAGACCATTTTCCACGGCGTACACTGTCTAGTATACGTTACTGTCAGAGACTCTACAGCGTCCAACTTTACTTCAAAATGTCCAAAGTGGGCGTCTCAGACGATCCGGCCGCAGCAGTCGCGGCATCCCGCTCCGATGGCAAGACCCATCTTCTACTATGCGCCAGCGGCTCGGTTGCCACAATCAAACTGCCCAACATCATCAAGGCCCTCGGCCACCACAAGAACCTCGCCATCAGAGTCATCCTCACGGCTTCGGCAACAGAGTTCCTGAACGGTTCAACAGAGGAGCAGCCCTCTCTTGCCGCAATAAGAGCACTGCCGAATGTTGAAGGCATTCACTTGGACGCGGACGAGTGGGTGCAACCTTGGCGGCGGGGTTCGTCGATTCTGCATATCGAGTTGCGGCGGTGTAAGTCGAGATATTTCTGTGCCGTGTTTTCACTTGCTCGGGTTTTCTAACGTCTACTTACTCGTAAAGGGGCTGATCTAATGCTCATCGCGCCACTCTCGGCAAACACGTTGGCTAAAATCGTCAACGGCTTCTCAGACAACCTTCTGGTGAGCATCGAACAACTGATATGTACGTTCTGCATCGTGGCTAATTCTTCTGTAGACGAGTGTGGTCCGAGCATGGGATGCGGATGGGCTCATCGACGGCCGGAAGAAGAAGATCCTCGTGGCTACCGCGATGAACTCGGCCATGTATGCGCATCCCATCACTGCAAAGCAGGTCAAGGTGCTCGAGGAGGAGTGGTCGTGGTTTGAGGTGTTGAGACCGATTGAGAAGACGCTTGCTTGCGGTGACACGGGGGGCGGTGCGATGATGTCGTGGGAGGACATAGTCAAGGTGACGGAGGCAAGGCTTGGCCTGTGATACCGTGTCACATAAAAAGTTATCGGAAGAAATTCAAATGAGGTTGTCCTCTTGGTATGTCTGATCTTGTTTGTATGACCGTTATCTCTCTAGCTCACTTGGCCATAAAGACACTGAAGAAATAGACAGAAACGAAGGTAATAAGTGGGAAGGTCACTTGCGGATGAGGGCAGATGTGGCGTGGAGACTTGGTTATAGCACATAGTCCCAGCAAGCACGGTATTCTTTTGAGATTGCTTCTGTCAAGTTCTTGTTCCACATATCTTCTCATGCTGTACGAAGGCGGTTATCCAGTTGCGCCACCCCCCCCCTTTACGGTGATCCATGGGTCCATAACCAACAAGATATGTTAGACATGCGAATCGCTATGCATGTGCTACGTATGCACATAGTGAAGGAGAAGATCCGTCGGTTTGGAGCGGGCTGAGCGAGAGGAAAAGAAAGAGGGCGTACTGTAATCAATCAGGCAAATTCATTCGTTCAACGCCTGTTAGAATGATCCAGAGAGCAGTCAGAATCAGAGTACCCGAGATGGGTATCGTGAGCTTGGGCTGGGGGATGACATTTGCCGTACACTGATTGGCGCTCCGGGCAGCCCACATGGAGTCCGACCTCGGTGACGTCGGTGAGCCAAGGCCCAAGCTCCCTCACCGAGAACCACACCTCGGATTACATCACCCATTCCGCAATCCCATGACATTTTCGCATTTCTCATCAACTGCCTTCCCCCGTTGACCACTCCTTCAACACACCCACTCCACAGCCAATATGTTCTCAAGGACGTTCCTCCGCTCAGTGAGTTCAGACAGACTCGATTCCAAGAATAGTCTAAACAGTTCCTACCGTCCTGGTGCGCAATCGCTAATCGTTGGTGTGTTTGTCTTTTCACAGAATTTCGCAAGGCAAGCCGTCCGGCCGGCGGCGCGCCCAATCGCCTTCCGGGCCCCGCTCCCCTTCCTCACCCAGCACCGCCTCATCTCCGACGAGACGAAGCAGGCCATCGAGAACGCCGTCGGCTCCGCGCCCGTCGTGCTCTTCATGAAGGGAACCCCCGAGACCCCCCAGTGCGGCTTCTCCCGCGCCTCGATCCAGATCCTCGGCCTCCAGGGCGTCGACCCCTCCAAGTTTGCCGCCTTCAACGTCCTGGCCGATCCCGAGCTGCGTCAAGGTATGTCGATACGCTCTGCACGGCGACTCGAAACAAACGCACTGGCCTGGACTTTTGCATCGGAGCGAACGGAACGCTGACCTTTGGTGTTTGCGAATAGGTATCAAGGAGTTCTCTGACTGGCCCACGATCCCCCAACTCTACGTCGACAAGGAGTTTGTCGGCGGCTGCGACATTCTCGTTTCCATGCACCAGAACGGCGAGCTGGCCAAGCTTCTCGAGGAGAAGAAGGTCCTTGCCGAGACCGAGGGCGAGGGCGAGAAGAAGGAGTAAGAGCAAAGGAAAGCCAGAAATCCCGCGCTGGAAAAGCGTTGAGAATTGTACAACTGTATCATACCAAAGGAAAGGGGCAAGCTATGCGTGGATCATAGCCGGAGGAAATAGAGTGGTATTTATTGGCAAAGACCTAAAGATTTTTAATCATGTACTCTTTTTTACGCAGCTGAAAGTCACGTTGGAAGGATGATGTGGGACGTGGGTGCGGCGATGCTATCACCTTTTCCTCCTACGCAATCAAGTGAAGATATCGCGAGAGGAACCCGGAGGGTGGCGTTTCGATACAGCGAGATTCTTTCGCGCAATCAAGATCCAAAGGCGAACCTATTGTAACCGATAGGCACCATCGTTGGTTGGCATGCTGCACGGAGGCAAGTGACTCGAAGGAGCAAAAGACAGTTCCTCGATATGGGATCGAACAAAAAACTAAACGTCGAAATATGATGTTCAAAGAGACTGAGGTCCACACTCGGGTCTTCCCCCATGAACCCCTCGACCACCTACCCCGAGTGGCTTAGTGATAGGTTTGGACGCTGCGTCGAATATACGGTGACCGGGTGACTAGGAACCTCAATGATGAAGATGGGATGAACACTATGACAGTCGTACCTTTCGAATGACAGAAGACTAGCTCCAGTCCCATTTTCCACATCATGTACATAATATTACGGCTACAAATTATCTGAAGACTCGACCTCAGGGCACCTTAGAGTGCCGGGTACGCAGCACCGTCACCGCGCGGGTCACTTCCCGCAGACCACACGCCCGTCCCCTCAACCGTATCGACGGTATGTCTGATGATCTGCCCGCGGCCAAACAGCCCCCTCTCAGATCCGGTAACCACCTCAACCTTGTGCCCGAGCTTCCGCAGGCCCTCCACCGTCTCCTCCGGCATGCCCTCCTCCACGCTGACAGTCCAGTCAAAGTCGGCGTCCCTCTCGGGCAGGCCCGCGACGATACACACGCGCGGCGCATCGAGCGTCTGCTGCGGCGTGAGACCCGCGACCAGCTGGCCGAGGAGAACCTGCACGTGGCCCTGGGGCTGCATGAACCCGCCCATGACGCCGAAAGCGCTGTGCAGCGACCCGTCCGCCGCGTTGGTCACCATGCCGGGGATGATGGTGTGGTAGGGCCGCTTCCCGGGCGCCAGCCTGTTGGGGTGGTCCGCGTCGAGGCTGAAGTTGGCGCCGCGGTTCTGCAGCGTGAAGCCGCAGCCCCTGGGGATGATGCAGGTGCCGAAACCGCCGTAGTTGCTGTTGATGAAGGACGCGGCGTTGCCGTGCTCGTCCGAGACGGAGAAGTAGACGGTGTCGCTGCTCTGGAGGGCGGGGGAGACGTGGTTGGGGGGCTCGCCGACGTGGAGCTTCCGCGTGGCCTTTGTCGGGTCGAAGAGCTTTGCGCGGGCGGCCGAGTACTCGCGCGAGATGAGGCCGGCCGAGGGCACGGTGACGACGTTGGGGTCGGTGACGTACCAGCTCGCGTCGGTGAAGCCGAGGCGGAGGGCCTCGATGATGGCGTGGAGGTAGGGCGCCGTGTTGTGGTCTTCCGCGGACCAGGCGGGGACGACGCCCGAGTCCTGGAGCTCCTGGATGATGCCGAGGGCCATGAGGGCGACGATGCCCTGGCCGTTGGGCGGGTGCTCCCAGACCTCGACGGCACCGTCGCCGCCGCCGCCGGATGACGCGCCGTTGGCCTCCTTTTTGAGGGCAGGCTTGAACTTGAGTGAGATTGGGTCGACGGGCTCGCTTCCCAGCTCGAGGTGGTGAGCCAGATCGTCCAACTCCAGGTGGCCGCCGAGATCCTTGACGACCTTGACAAGCTCTTCGGCGATGCGCCCCGTGTAGAAGCCCTTCTTACCCTCCTTTGCGAGAGTGCGGAAGGTCTGCGCCAGGGTGGGGTTCTTCATGATCTCGCCGGGGTTGGGCGCTCTCACGCCGTCTGACGCGTTGGGGTCCTTCTTCAGCATTTCTGAGAAGTTGGGAGATGCCTCTCTGATCTGCGGCTCTGCTGTGTTCCACTGTCAAAGGTTTCAGTAACCACATCTAGATAATTGTCTACACACGACTTGAAATCTGGGATCGTAGAAGATTTGAGAACGTACGTAGTGGCTCGTCAGCTCCGAGACAGGGAATCCCTTCTCTCCGAGCTCGATAGCCGGGGATAGCACACGCTCGAGGGAGACCTTGCCGCTGCCAAAACGCTCAATGGTGTCGACCCAGCCTGAGGCGGCACCGGGGACGGTCACGGCGTGGACGCTCTTCATGGGGATCTTGCCCGATGCGCCCTCCTTGATGCCGAGGTCCTTGCGGATGGTCTCGAGCGTTGACTTCTGAGCCGAACGGCCGGAGCCATTCATGGCCGAGACCTTCTTGGTTGCTGCATCGTAGAAGAGGATGAACATGTCACCGCCGATGCCAGTGGAGCACGGCTCTGTCATGTTCAGTCCGGCAGCTAGAAACAAGGCATATTCATTAGCGATCTGATTTCACTTTTCAAAATGATTGCTTCATTTCGAGGACGCCGATAAACCGGGTGGTTCGACTAACCAACTGCAACGGCGGCATCCTGATCACTTGCTGTTAGTCTTGATCGTGGATATATTGACTCGGCAGAGTGAGGCGCGACTTACAGCGGCATTACCGCCAGCTTGGAGAATTTCGATACCACATTTTGCGGCCAGCGGCTGCGTGCAAGATACGATTCCCTTTGTACTGTGAACGACACTCCTTCGGCTGGCGAACTTTGCGAATTCGCTTGCTTGCGCCGAGTGGAGGGACTCGCTGGTGAGGGGCATGGTGAGTCGCGCGCGGTGCGGGGTTATCGATCGCGATAACCGATGGGGAACGGTGGTGATGATGAGATGGCGGGGCAAGTCTGATTTGGGGGCCAGAGGAAGTATTATGAGATGAAAGGCGATGTTATTTCAGTCTCTTTGGGAGAATAAATAATCAAAGGTCAATGATTTGTATGAGATCTCTGAAAAAATGTAGATGGCGTCTGTCAAACAAGGGCGTAATGTGCAGCGAGTTCGGAGATGGGAATGCGCAAGGACAGGTACACAGATAGATTAGTCCCCCTTAGTCCGGGTCCAGGTTTTCGGGGAATCTAGCCGATGAAGAGGGATCAGGTTGTCTAGTCGACGGGGGATATAATGCCGGTAGTCGGTTAAGGAGGAGCAGCAGTCAATAGGATAGGTCAGAACTTGAGCGTTGAAGGTATAATGATCCTATACGTAATGCCTAGGTTCGGGCTTCCCAGGGTGGTTACCGAGAGAGGTAGGTCGATAAGTGAACGGCGCGGTACGGAGCAGGATGTGGACGGGGGAAAGTGGCGCTAGTGGAGTTTGTGCTCCGCATGAGAAGCCCACCCGGGGTAGATGACGAGAAATGAGGATGCTCGCGAAGTTGGCAACTCAGTTGACAAAGTGAGTAGTGCGTGAGTTCAAGTGTCCCGAGCGAGAGTGAAGTATGGATGTCGACACGGGGCGCGGAGGAGTCTTGAGTGATGACTTTTGATTTTCAGAAGAAAGTCTGTTTATTCAAGTGACATGTTGCACGTCCTTCATTAGCTAAGTAGCTAAGATGGAATGGCAGATGGAGGAGAACAACTTATATAAGCCATCATTAGAATGTATTTACAAGTAGGTCATTCATTACACGTGGGACTATCCCACGCGGTAGGACAATGTCATACAAGCGCAGGGAGGGAGGGGTTCTCTCAACATCTCAAGTATCCGGTCTGGGAAGAAAAGACCCCGAAACGGTCTCTTTTCAGCACTGGCGTTCCCACTGTAACGCCGCACCGGCGGCCGCCGCCGGCAAAAGGTCCGAAACTCGGGGCTTGTTTCAACGGCGCCAGTGTGGCATTGTAGCACGGTCGTTAACGATGGAGGAAGTGCAGAGGTAGTTGTAATTAGAGCAGCAAGTTGTCAAGCGAATGGGGAAAGTCTAGAAATGAGAAATTGGAATTATTGAACTTTCTCATGTACATCCCATCCTTTTCCAGCAGCCACTTGGGTTCGTCATCCCATGTTCTTGGTCCGTCTTCCTTGTTGTGCCCTCGGCGTCAGAACCTCATGACCAATCACCCAATCCAGTACTGCACTCTTCCGTCATATAGCAAGTTGGACCCAAACAGGCGGATCATCCCGCCGGTTGTAAAAGCCTACGACTGCGAACTGACACCCCGAAACGTGGGTCTGATCCGAATAACGATCGCGAGCCCAGCCAAGCCGGACTTTTAGACTCCTTGCCCAGAGAACTAGAACCAAATAGCCCAGACACCCTTCTGCAGGAAGAAAACCTCGCCTTCTAGAACGAACTCAAAAATAAGCAGTACCGGATGGGCGCAGGGATGGGAGCTCTAATTCGCATCAACCGACTCTCCCCCTCCAACTCAATCAAGACCTCCATCTTCTCCAGAGCAGAAGAAGAAAAGGACAGCGTGTCAGTGATTAGCCATTCGAAGAACCCCAATGAGGGCAGCCTATGCGATGAAGGTGTTTCAGCTCATCTAGGTGTTCTAATTGCGCTTGTCGTCTTTTGTCCAACATGTTCATGCAGCACTGACTTTATACTGCACACGTCGTCTGGCCGTTAGGATGATTGGGCAGTCACATGCTCGTGACGTTGACTGACCTACTAATGTGTGTGTGAGGCAATTGACATCGTTCCTCACACTTTTGGCTCTCACGCTCCACCAGCTCTTGAGTCTGGCCATAGTCTCGTGGATGCTGGCACCATCTCTCAAAGAATCCGTTATTCTAGGTAACACCTCTTGCTCTGGTCTGGGAAATTGCTTAACCTGCGATTGGCTCGACAGCTCATGTGAGAAACAGACACTGACAATCTCTTCAATACAACCTCGATGGCCTTGAAACAACGTTGATTTCCTAGAGTTGCATCCGGGTACATTATAATGCTACCCACATACCTCTGGAGAATTTCTCTCTGAGCGCTGTCAGCTCATTATCGTCCGACTGATACTTCGCGATTCGAAACCTCGAAAACTGCAGTCAGCGAGCCAGCTGGTCTCATGTTCTTGTCTTCTGATGTTTTTGCATTGTCCCATAGAATTGGCGAATCCAACTTGAGATGGTGTCTCCCAACTTCGACTCAGTGCGCTTTGCGTCTCTAGCCCCTGATGCTCTAGTTTGATCTTTGGAAACGAAGGCCATTGGAATGATATGATGAGGGAGCATCTACCCTGATGTCGAATGAGTTGACTCTGCCCTCGCAACCGACGATACCGAAGCCGTAGTGGACAGTTCGCTTGATCATCTGGGGCTCTAGCGTCTATAAACAGAATTGACTGATAAGAGTTCTTATAACAGGGAGTTTTGAGATGCGTACCTAATATTGGACTACCAGCCGCATTATAGACGATTAAAGTTACTGTGACCTGCGTAAGCAGGAGGCTATTCAGGGGTACCCTTATCATTCAACATCGAACTTGGCTTTTCTTTTGTTCGGGCTGGTTAATAACGACTATCTACAAACCCATCAGGCCACGTCTACGGCGAATCCCTATATTGATTTCTCTCCCTGCTGGATCTGCACACTACTTTGACAGGATTCATCCCAATTGCTCATATCTTGAATCGGAACCCATGCGCCGCCGCCTCTCCCGGCGCAGCATTGATAGCCCCCTCGACGTGCTCCCCCCTCTCCAACTTGCGATTCAACCCCACCAACACAAACCTCAACACCGTCGCCGCGCAAATGGCAATAAAGCACGCAACGCAGTTGTGAATGAACGCCGCCGTGTACTGCGGGCTGTCCTTCTTAGGGTACAAGTAACTCGCGTAAATACTACTGCAGTTACTAACGGCATTGATAAACGCCAGCGCGGCGGCTCTCTTGGCGGGAGGACGCGGCAGGGTGTTGCTGATCCAGGCCAGCGCCGTGGTGTAGCCCGTGTAGACGCCGGGGACGAGGAGCATCATGGCGACGTAGCGCGGGGCGGTCGCGTGCGTTGCGGCGCCGAGGATGAAGGCCGCCATGGCGACGCAGAGGGGCACGACGATGTGGAAGTAGCGCTCGCCCGTGCGGTCGGCGTGCCAGGCGTTGATGCAGGTCGTGATGACGCAGAGGACGTAGGGCGGGCAGGTTAGGAGGAGGGAGATGACGGAGTTGTAGCCGAGGGTCTGGACGACGGTGGGGAAGAAGTTTGTGATGGAGGCCGAGGCGACGATGCAGAAGATGAGGACCAACTGAAATAAAGTGTGTTAGTCCATGCAAATGAGGGAAGAGTGGGAATATGGCTTGCCAGAATCCACGTCTTGACATCCTCCAACGCCGTCTTGAACCCGTGCCAAAACGTCTGCTCCCCGCTATTCTTCCAATCATCCTCGCCGATATCCTCCTCCAGCCTCCAGACCGCGAGCGCCGTCTCCTCCTCGCTCAACCACGACGTCGTCCGCGGAAAATTGGGCAGCACAAAAAAGGCCGCAAACGCAACGCCGACGGTCACGACCCCTTCGATGAGGAACAGCCACTGCCAGGCACCGAGCCCGCGCGCGCCGTCCATGTTGCCCGTGATACCCGCCGAGATGAGGCCCGAAAAGGCGCCCGAGATGAGGGAGCCTGTGTACAGGATCGTCGTGCGCAGGCCAAGCTCCTCGCGCGTGTACCAGCAGGAGAGGTAGTACAGGCAGCCCGGGAAGTAGGCGGCCTCGACGAAGCCGAGGACGAAGCGGATTACGAGGAGGCCTGCGTAGTTGCGGCAGGCGGCTGTCGCGGCGGAGATGACGCCCCAGATTACCATCTTGAATTGCGGTATTGTTAGTGATCTATAGAAAGGGACTTTGATGGCATGGGTACTGAAGTGGGACGAGTGAGCGTTTACTTACACATGTTGGCAGGTACAGCGCAGGCTTCCCAATTTTATTGAGAAACAGATTCGAAGGCACCTGCATGAGAAGATATCCGACAAACAAGATACTCACAGCCGTCTGGAACTGGTTCGAATTCGGGTCGAGATTGAGATCCCGCTCCAAACCCGCCAGACGCGCCGCGGCGATGTTGTTCCTGTCAATGTAGTTCCTACGAATTCATGGGTCAGCAGATACTCTCGGCCAAGAACCGCAAAGCAACATTGTATTTGCGAGAAAAATAATTAGAATAACAATCTCCTTTCTTTACTTACAAGATGTACATAAGAACAATCATGGGAAGCAAGCGAATGTCCACCTTGCGCTTCAGCTTCTTCTCAAGCTCGACGCGGTATTCATGCGACATGGCCGCGACGATGGGCGGCGGCTGCAGCCCGCGCCGCTCGGCCTCGAGGGAGAGCTTTGGCGGCACATCTTCCAGGTCGCCGGCGCGGTGTTCGTGATGCAGCGAGGCGTGGTCCACCTCGGACTGCTTCCCGTCTGCCATCTTTATTCCCCCAACAGTTGTCGTGATCTTTGGGGGAGCCTTCCTTGGAGAGTTGTTGATTGGGCTGTTGAATCTGGATCTGCCTGCCCTCACAAGAACACTTCGTTTCACTCCGTCTCGCTGGTGGTCGAGTATGTGCGTGACAGTAGTCCCGTCCTCAAGTAAGGTTACTAGTAGGCGATGTTTTAACTCAATTGCGCAGCGGACCTACCTCTTTTTTAACTCCGCACATTACCCCAGATATGGCACATGGCTTCCCGCAGCGGAAAAAGCGAAAAGAGCGGCATGCATGGGTGGTTTCGTCCCAGCTTTTCCCCATGTCGGGATAATCACCGTTCCACTACCACCCCTCTGAGCGATGGGGTTACATATTCCCAGCCATTCACAATCGAGACCGGGGGAAAGTAGGTACTGCTTCTTGACTGTAGTGACGAAGATCTCTCCACTAGCTCTTCATTACTATATTCTCTCCGCATCTCCTAAGTAGTCCCCGCGGCGTTAGTCGACATCGGTCCGATGAGTACCGACTGACCTCCTCAGTCATGGCAAAGTGAATGCTCACACACCAGTGATGGAGATGGAGGAATCATCGAAATATGTCTCGTTGAAAGACAAGCTATGAGATGTCAGGTGAGTAACAACCGAGTCAATCTATGAAGCTGCATCCGAATCCTTTTCCCAACCACTCGGCATCGATCACTAATTGCTTTTTTCCTCATCAATCTATCAACCTATCAAATCACACGACATCATACGAACAGTATCAAGCCAAGACTTCATTTTTTCGTTCTCGCGTTCGGAGTAAGAGTCCAGAAACAGAAAAGCACCAAATGACAGCTCAGCGTTAAGCTTGAAATGCAAACGGCTCGTTGGTCCCAAGGAGATCCCCACGCACGGAAAAGCGTTCACGTATCCATTCCATGACCATCCGAAATCCGGGGTTGGAGGCGAAATGATGCGGGGAAATGGGGGGGAGAAGCGTTGGGAGTCGAGACGAATGACCGGGGTCGAGGGGGCGGAGTAACTCCGCAACCATTTGCGGAAACCAAGTTGCAAGATGCGTATCGAACGATTGCGGTGAACGGGGTCACGCCAGAAAGAAAGGTTGAGTCCGGGGCGATGACGGCACCCGAAAGGGAAGCTTTGGGGGCGACAGCTTTTTTGCTGTGCCGCGTGGGAACGAAGAAGCTTGATCTCTGCTCGTGACCAATCATGTCGATAACGCAGATAATTCAACCGAACTACCCACGGAATTCGACATGTTGGCAAACTGGTCGTTGGGATATTGAAACGAATGACGGCATGGTTTTGGGTCTGTCTATCTCATGATTGGACCGGCTCTACGAGTACATATTGGGGGTGTTCAGCTAAAGCCGGCACATGGGCCGGCACGGCACCGAAACGGGAACCGAGCGTCTCCACAAAAGACCAGGAGGGTATGTTCCACTTTACCGGCTCGGCACTTTAATCAAGATGGAAAGCCGAGCGGAACCAAGCTTTCGGCCCAGACTTGCGGCTCCGCGGGGGCCGGACGACCGGTGAAGCCAGACAACACCGGGGTGGGGGGACTAGAGTGCCGGGGCCGAATAATTCGCCAAAGCAATGAGGTAAAGCAAACAAAATCATCAATCAGACATTGATTCGGCCATTGGAGAGCATTCCATGGGGTTGCAACCTTTGTATTATGATTATATATACAAGATAGGAGAAATAAGGAATGTACAAAAAACAATTACTGTGTGTTTACCCAAAAACTCCCGGATTAAGAGATGGAGATCTGTGACATAGGAGAACATTTCATGACGTTATTTGTCGTTTGTTATGTGCAAGAGTGTTGAAGTGTGTGCAGGTGTGCGTGTGTGCAGTGGATGACCGGGCGGAGATGGAGCGACTTAGACACCAGAGTCCTCCTGGTGAACAGACTCTTCCTCAGCATAGGTCCTCCAGTTGGCGCAGGTGCTGTTGAGGGTATCCTCGTTGGTAATGGCCGCGATCTCGGTGGGACGCTCGATGAGCTGGAGCGCGAAGCCGAGGGAAGTGTGCCAGCCAATCTGTGATAGTGTCAGTATATGGGAAATCGAAAGTGTATTGAAGGGCGGCGGAAAGGACTCACGTGGCAGTGCATCAGCCAGACACCTGGGTTGTCGGTGTAGAATCCGATGACGAGGTACCCGGAGCCGGGCAGCATGGCGACGTCGCGGCGGGGCGCGTTGACGGTCTGCAGTGCGACGGAGGAGTCGTAGGTGCCCGTGGCCTGGGCGAGGACCCAGAAGTCGTGGCCGTGGAGGTGGATGGGGTGGGCGAGGCCGATGGGGTTCTGGATGATGAAGTGCACCCAGACGTTGGCCTGGTCGAGGTGGACGATGTTTTGCTGGGTGGAGAAGGTGTCGTTGCCTCCGAGGACCTGTTCGACGGCTGGTTGTCAAATGTTAGTATCATATTGCCATTGCATATTTGTGGAAGGGAAGCTTACTAGGGTAGTCCCAGTCGGAGAGGAAGGTGCTGTTGTTCAGTGTCCACTTGAACTGGCTGCTGACGGTCTGGAGACCGACGGTGAGGGTGTCGTCGTAGGTCTGCTGGCCGGCTTCGAGAGCGACAACGGGAACGAGGTTGGACATGCTCTCGTCGAGGCAGTTGTCCATGTAGGTGTGCGCCTCGGAAGTGGGGTCGGCGGTGGAAGTAGAGTCGTAGCGGACGATGCCCTTGATGTCGAGCGTGTTCTCGTTCTCACTGCAGGTGAGCTGGGGGATGGCGCGGAGCCAGTAGTCGCCGGTGCTCTCGGTGGCGCGGACGATAACGTCGTAGCGCTGGCCGATGCCGATGGAGACGGCAGTGGTGTTGTAAGGGTTCATGGGGACGAAGTCGGCCGAGATGACCTCGAGGGTGTGGTTGTCAACCATGAACTTCCACATGGTGTCGATGGCGGCGTTGACGAGACGCATGCGGTAGGACTTGCCGGCCTCGAAGGCCGTGGTGAAGCGGGAGCCGGCGCCGTCGTACATGCCTGTGCCGTTGATGAGACCGGTCTGGGCGCGGGGCGGGCCGTTGCTGGCGGCTTCTTCGTAAAGCTCGTCGGTGGTGCGGTGGAACCAGTCGCTGAGAACGATTGTGCCGAGATCCTCGTCGTAGGGGGCCGAAGCGGGACCGTGGACAATCATTCCGCCAAAGACACCGTTCCTGTTCGAGGTTGTTAGGTTCATGTCGAGAGATGCGAAGCTTTGTGGAACAATGATCTTACCAGGCCTGGAGAGCAAAGTGGCTGTGGTACCAGGACGTGCCGTACTGGGAAGCGTGCCAGGTGTAGGTGATGGAGTCGCCGGGAGCAGTAGGGCATTGAGTGATGGAAGCAACGCCATCAGCCTCGTTGGTGTAGTTCTGGCGGATACCGTGGAAGTGAATGCTGGTGCCGTTGTTCTGAAGAGAGTTCTTGACGTGGACGACTGAGATGATGATGTTAGTAAACTCAAAAACACCTTAAGCTCCTTGATATCAGAAACACTTACCAACAGTGTCACCCCAGTCAGCAATGATGGTAGGTCCAGGAACAGTTCCGTTGATGGAAAGAACCATGCGCTCAACGCCGTCAGGAGCCATGGTGGTGTTCGTGACCTCGAACCAGTACTCGCGGATGACGCCCGTGTTGGGAGCCTCCTCGTACCAGTTGGTCGAGAGATCGTGGGTGCCATCCCAGCAAGAAGGGTTGAGGGCGGAGTCAAAGACGCAGTCTTGACGCTTTTCAAGTGTGCTCGGAGCAGCAGACGAAGGGGCGCCTGAGATCAAGGTAGGGAACAGGAGCGCGAAGCATCCCAAAATTGAGCGTTTATACATGGCGAGAAGCGATGTACTACAAAACGAATGTAGAATAAACGATTGGAAAGTTTGAGAATCAACGAGTGATTGTGTGAGAAACTGCCTCAAAAACGAATGAAGGCAAGATGATGATGGAAGGAAGGAAGACCGAGGCTTGAAGAAGCGAGTGATGGTGGCCAAGATAACTTTCACTCCAGAGACGGGCAGACTTGCCTCGTCTTATAGAAATCGAACACGAGCTTTCGAGCCCATCACGAACAGACAGGCTGGACGAATAGAGGGTCTCTCTCGCCAAGTTTGACGCCGTCTTGGCTAGAACGAGATACCCCGATTGTGAATCACTGAATTCGCAATCCCAACTTGCAGCGTTCCCTTCGATGTTGCGCTCTGAGGGCCTAGTTCGGTGCCAGAGGCCGACCACCCCTGACTCGAAGAGACGGCGCGCCCACATCCACATGGGAGGCACATCGCTCGTTCGACCAGGTAGGTTTGGTGAGATGTGAAGGAGGAGTGTCGTCGGTTACTCGGCCGCTCGGCCGTGACATTGACTCCGGTGGACGAACTCCATGCTTGGCTGGCAACTATCGAACATTGTGCCTATACGAGGAATCGGTACCCTTGTCGAAAACCAACGTTGAGAGAAAAGGAGGGTCTGCTGTCAGTCACAAGGATCCATGCTGCGCTCACTTTCTCGCTTTCTGCTGCCGAAAACCATCGTCGGGTGTTGTTTCCCTTATTCCGGGGGGCCACTTTGACGAACCCCCCCTCCCCTCCCCTGAGCCCAGTTCGATATGGATGTCCTACATGGATCATGTAAGCCTGCATATAGGCGCCATTCCGGTGAATATGTGCGTTGAAATTTGCAGCTTTGTCAAAGGAGGCAGGGCAAGAGAGGTCTCCATATTCTTGGCCCGTCATGCCCTCGTCTGAAGTTCAGGCGGCTAAGCAAGTAAGACACCGGTGAGGGTGGGAACAAGATGGAGATTCGTCGTTGATCGCCAAGTCCGTCCACATGCTTAGTCGATTCAGAATGAGGTTCGCCTACGACTCTCTCTGTAGTCAGCGTCTTCTTTCCCCATCGAAACAAGTGCTCGAAACTGGCTGACGCGTATCTGTAGCCCGTACAGGCTACAGCAGACAGGCAGGACTATCGAAACCGTGCTTGTGTGGCTGCATTAGCCCCGCGGGTACGGATACAGAGTGTCATCAGGCCCGAACCCCGTGCGCCGTTGTTTCTTCTGCAATGGATTGCTCCGAACGAAGCGAACGAAACATGGAATGACATTGACGTCTTCCATGTCCGTGGGTTGTCTTGTTCAACGGCGATCAGGACCGGAGAAATGTCCTTGAGATGAACCATGCCTAATTCGGCATCATGGTTTGACTAATAAGGATCCTCACCACTAAGAAACCTAGACTTTAGGAGCCTCATTGTGCCCAAACTAGATGGGGGAGAAGGGGGATGTTCCTATCTTGGCTGCCCAATAAGATAGAGCCGAAAGCCAAGCATTACGCGGGAAACCCCGTTGGCGGTTAGCGTAATAGAGCTGGATGGAAACATTGACGGTGAGAAAGCTCTGATCGGGCCAGTAGTATGATAAGACGGGATATAGCAGAAGAGCGCAAAAATTGCTGTTGAACCGTTCGACGTCCGAATCTGTGGCGTTGCTCCGCTGCGTATGGGCGGACGAGCAGACGCGTCTTGGCAAGGGTATCCCATCCTTTAAGCCGCCGGGGCCCCATTGTGGCCGCGGTCAACGTCATCCAATGCAACGGCGTCAAAACGAAAACCGTTCGATATGGCATGGGCGCGTCAAAAAGGGACAAGGGAAGTAAAGTGTGGGGTGGGGGGTCAGGGTGATATGGAGAAGATTCAAGCCAACACGGCTAGTTTCCCAGTGGCCAAGACAAAGACTTCTGAATGGAGTATACTGTATACCCTAACGAGGTTGCAGCCTTGCTGGAACACACGGAGAAGGGAAATAATCGTAAAACAATAGAGATTCGGTGACCGGTGGCGTTTGCAACTATGTTGAGCCTCTGACTCGGAAAAAGCAACGTCAAGCCTCCAACGGCGGTGGAAATTGTTTGATGTTTGCAGGTCCTACCGTCCTAGCTGCAGCTCTTCTGGCTCCCCCGCGCAAAGCTGTCTTTGAGACGCGCTTGCTGGGAAGTCTCGGACTCAGTGCAACGGTAACGCCGCATGTTTTTGCCAGTCCCACGTGTGTTGGGTGGCGTTCACTGCGTTGGAAGCCCCCTATCGTGGGGTTAAGTGCCATTGACAGCGGCGAACGTTGGCTGATCAGGGGAAACACATCGTCAAGATTCGGGACGAAAGACGAGAAGAGAGACCCAAGAGTTGACGAAGTGCGAACATGGGACGGCAAGACCAAGACCTGGTTCCGAATGTAGGATCACCCGCAGTATCTCGATTATCGATGACGAGGGAGGGGCTGTTGCGAACAACGGAGTACGTGGAAATCAACCATCAAGCAGCTTCCACGGCTGGAATGGCAACTCAGAACCGAGAGCGAGCGCTTCTCGTGTGCCGGATCAGCACGACTCTTTTCCTCTTGGTAATTAGACTCTGAATTCAATCTCGTTATCATCTTGCAAGCGCGCAAAGTATGCTTGATTAGAAGAAGCTCCCGTCAAGTCTCCGTAGCGGGCTTTGGCGCCATTTGCGGGAAGCACCATCGGCCTGCGATTGCGTACGTAGTCCCTGGCTCCCTGCGGGGGGCCAAGGGAGTATCAATGGTCAGTAGGCACGCAACGAGCAGGGGGGTTGGTACACTCAAGACAGGAGAGGGGCGGTTGGCTGGCCGTTGGTGACGGAGAGATAGGTATGGAGATAGCGCAAGAGAGAGAGAGAGAGAGACAGACAGAAGAGGGACACCTGACGCAGGTGAGATGCTAGCCTCGTGTAGGTTGGCAGGATCCATTATGCAAGTAAGAAGAGGAAGAAAGAACGGAGCAGTCCCCCGATAGCTTTACACCCTTGTCTTTGTGTCCTGTCGAGCAAGAAGGGAGTGGGGTTTGGCGGCGTTGACAGGGTACGAGAGCACGAGGGGAGGCCCATGTGCTTGTCAAAGATGTCGGATGGCGATGTTTTGCTGTTGGGTTTGTGGGTACATGTATCTGAAGCAGGGGGGTATGATGGGTGATGGATGATGGGTGGTTGAAGATGGAGGAGTATCGATGTATGGTATCATGGAGGATGGAGGAGAGGAGGATGAACTGTGGGCAATGGCAGAAAACATCGCAAAGTGCCAATGGCAAGAACGTCGCCTCCGAAACTTCCCCTGCCACCCAATGATCCACCCATTCAGACTTCACTCCTTCTTCCCCTTCCCAAGATCCCAAGTTCCCAAGTCTGAGTCTGTCCTGCCACCCCTTCACCCCTGCTTGGCCGCGCAAGCCTCATCTCTGGATGCTACCTCTTTTAGAGCCCACCAGCGTGGCCCCCCGCAAGGGTGCGTTAGCGGACAGTGCACAGCGCTAGACAAATGCCGGTTCCCGCATTGCATGGCACTACTACCGGAATGTCTTAGCTCACCGGCGCCAGGGGCTACCCTGAGCCGCCATTTCGACGACGACGACGACGACCACAACCACGGACTGCAACTTCCTCCCAGCCCAAACCTCGTCCGCTCACTACACCTACACAGTACTCCGTTCTCGCGGGATTCAATCCGCGGCTTGCCCAGTGTAACGACGACATCGCCGCTTGCAGCAAACTTCACCTCATCGACGGAACGACACTCTGCTATCTTCCTTGAACCCACCATCATCCAACTTCAACCACCTCAGAATAGCGAGAACATGTCACCATCAAGTAACATCATCTCGTCGATAACACCGTACCGTCATCCGGAGATTCGCTGCCATCGCCGAATCTCCATTTTTGTGCGTCTCCTATGGCCGGAATAGGCAATAAAGTCTTGGCATCTCCAACCTCTCCATCACGGTGCTGCCGAAGTCGCTCGCATCAAATTTCGCCTCTGCCCCTCTATACCCCCCTTCGAGATAACCTTCTTCCAGAGTTCAGCTTGACGGGTCATCGATCGCCGTTCGTTGGTGTGTACTTTATCGGTTGCTCCCGAAATTCGTTCATGGGGGGATTGCGAGCTCCCAAAAAGCAACAGTGTATATGCTTAATCCTTAGACTCTCTGGATTGCCAGCCGCCTCTTCGAGGTTCATGCCGAACATTCTCACAATCTATCCACTGATACGATGGTATAGGAACTCTAACCTAGTCGTATAGGTCACATACCGGCCACATAACGGCTGGCTTCCTTTGCTCAAGTGAGAAGAGCGAATGATTCAGACATCTGCAGAGCTCAGGGAGTCCATGGGCCAATATTTCATCTGCCGAACCGAATCACGTCCCAGCGTCTACTACCTCGAAGAAGCGCTGTCTTTGTGGTAGGACTCGGCGAATACGGCCCAGACGCAATACATACGATCACTTGCTTTCACCGCCGTTTCCCCTGGATCGAATACTATGCTCCTGACTCCTGACACGCCCGCAACCCGTACACCTGCAGCAGACCATCTAAGCAACCTCTTGGGTTTCTCCGTCACAATATCCTAATGCGAAGCAGTCACTATCACAGGATAGTCAGGTCCACAAACAAAATTTCCGTGTGCTCTCATCACGGCCTTCGGCCACCAACAAGTCTTGGTCCGTGTGTTCCGGCCATAACCATCGACTTGGCGGATTCTCGGCCTCGGGCCATGATCGTTCACCGAGATATCCCGCCCCGTGCTCCATGGTCTTGGCACAACTGCACCCCGCTTGCTCTATGCTCTTTTCTCTAATTTTGACTTTACGGGAGCATCCGCACGAGCCGCATGAGTCAAATACGAATTGAAAATCGACAGCTTTTTCACTTTTTTACCCTTCGTAAGCGGCATGGGTGTTAGACAACTGCGGTTTACGAGAGTTGCGAGGAGTCCGTGATAGCACGAGCTGGCCAAGCTAATGGCCTCTCCGTCCGATTTTTCTGCTATTCATCGAAATGAGCGGCAGGGAATGCAATACGACGACGCTATAACAAATCGCATTGAATATTACGAAGAACGGATCCAGCCACTTCTCCGATATGCCGACATAGAGACTAGAGAGGGAGCGAGGCCTCGCACTAGCAGCTGACCCAAGGATCGGGCGGCTACGGTGAATTAGACAACCATTCCAAAACTCCAAGGCTCGAAAATCAAAAATGCGCATCTGAAGTAAGGACTGCCACCTTCAATTTGCCACCGGCCTCGTCTCTTGCTTTGGTGCTTGGATGGTACTTCGGTCTTGCCCCGCTATCGTCGGTTGTCAAAGCTGGATAGGCGAGTTTCTGGAGGACCCCTCCATTCTCATCCGCGGTTCCCGCCATGCAGACAACCTTTTTTCTGCCAAGAGACGCAGGAACTCACACCGGAAACTGACAGTTGACAGTTTCTCACGATAGCAACATGCTGGCTACTGCTCCCAAACAAGGTTGGCTATCCGGTGTGTACACGCGTCCATACGTCCAGGGCAAGACTCGATATTCGATATGCTTTTCGAGGGGGGCAGCTGAAAAGGGCGGGAAGAGGGGTGCTGAGGATGATCCGGACCAGGCCGAAAGGAATACCTAGACTTGTACAGCGCCCTCGGCCTGACGGGATGGCGGGACCGCCCGCAAGAGCTCTTAGCAGGGGATATGATGCATCTTGAGCTGAGGGCTGCTCAAATTTGACATCGCGATGGCCGATCACCAAAGGCTGAAAGATTTGGGGCGGTGTCGTCTTACACCATCCTTTCCCTACACCCCTCGCGTTCGTTCCCCTGGCGGAGACACGCAAGCGTCAGAACAATATTTGGACAAACGCGTTTTCAGGGCGTGGCTCTTCATCTAAGGCTAAGCGGGCCGAGTAGATGCCCATATCAGTATCTGTATGCCACACCTATTGTTGTCCCCTGCCCGGTAAGTACAGACTGACATAATATGACATTTGACAGGCCTGATTCCAAAACAACGGTCAAATGAAAACAGATGAAAGCCGAGAAGGGATTACATATTTCCGCTGCAGACTCTTGAGGGGCGTCAGCTTACAGACTGTAGACAACGGCGTTAACAAGATAGTCCAGGAACAAGGGAGCCCACGTCTGGTTCGGTTCATCGCGGCAGTGTCTGCAGGTATGCTTGTAGCTTGACCGGATATATTGAATCCACAAGGCAAGGGTAAGAAGTCTGACAAAGATTGCGCCTTACACGATGACAAGCTGCGAAAACCATTTCAAGCGGTCCAATGGGGATATGTCGAACAAGGGCTTCCGACAACGACGTCCGGAGCCTTGGGCAGAAAACCTGACGACTTCCAGCTCCTTGGAAAGTGGAAATCGAAACCCACGTTGACACGCCTCGGTTCTGTCTGCCTATCTACCAAACTGCCATGGTTCTCGCGTAAACACTCGCAGAGTACTCCACTCTGAAAGGCGAACAAACTCGAGAGGGCAGAAAAACTTCCAAGCAGTCCGCAGATAGGCGACGGGACCTGAATAGGTAATGCTTCTCCGGTGTCAAACTGGGGTGGACAGAGAGGTAATGCACATGCAACATGCAGAAGCACCAACTTATCGGTTTCCTGTGTCCGCGTGACTAGGTATCCGTACCTCTCACAGTCCGTCCCCAACGCAAGGCTGCAGCCTGGATAGCCGACAAACAAGACTAACAGGAACCCATACAACCCATGCATCGCTTGACGCTTGAAAATAGGGCTTGAGGCGCTACTTCATCATCCATGCCGGGTAAAGATAGATTATCTTTATCAAAATGCCCTGTATCCAGAACCCTTGGATAGAAAACAAGCCTTTTTCATTTTTTGACCTTGTCGGCCCTGGCGGCAGCAACCGAGGCGGGGGGGGACGCGTATGTAGTTTAAATGAGCTGAACGAGACACGAGACCCAACGATAACAACCGAATCATCCGTGAACGAGGGACCAGTCAGCGTTTGAATTGTGGGAGTTTCATCGAGAAGTGTTTATCGGCTTTTGCGGGTTTTCATTGCCTGGGATTTACGAGATCTTGGGAAGTCCTGCGAGCCGAGATGCATCTTCATCGACCATCGAGGCAGTGAGGCCCAACATGGCACACACACATACGCGCATACACAACCTTGACACAGCTCACGCAGGCGCACATACACACAGACTTCCTGTATCTATCTGTCTTCTTACAATTCTCACCCTCGAGCGCCTAGGTGCCTCAGAGAAGCGTCAAGCATACGCAGCCAGTGGGTGACGGGCGCTTAAGTCCAGGCGTTCCTGCCGCCTAAAATATAGGCAAGAGAAGCCAGCCAGAGAGAGAGAGAGAGAGATGAGAGCGAGAAAGAGGAGAGGAGAGTACGGTTACACAGTAAAGAGATAGAACCTTGAAGGCTTGAACCGGCGGTCACGGACGTCGTTCTGCTGGGGAAACCCCACATCCCGGGACATGTTGCCCGCGGACCGCCCTTCCCCGGGGGTTAAGAAACATAACGTGAGGTAAGGTAAGGTAAGCACCTCCCGTGCCACATGACTGGGGTGGCCGGTGCGTGCAGAAACAAAACGGAGGTAAGTTTGGATCAAGTACTTTTAGCCAACCGACCTTCTTGAAATGGACTAAACATCTCCGTCACCAGATCTTGTTTTTTTCTTGATTTTGCTTTCTTGCTATTGTTGTGTGGTTGGTCTTTGGAGGAAAAGATCGTCAGGAACTACTAGAACTAAGGGAAGGGGGAAGGGGGAAGGGGGAGGGAAAGGCAAGGGGGAGGTGGGAAAAGAGTGCCGCTAGCGGGCCGTTCGGGCTGGCGGGGGTAGGTACGGGCGGGGAGGGACTGGGCCCCACAATCCGGGAGGCGCGCCCTCCGTGTCCGGGTCTTTTGGACTGGAACTTTACGGAGCATCGCAGGCAGGAAGGTAGATTGCGGAGGGCAGAGAAGATAAGGCTGGGAATCATGGCGAAGAGTAGACTGCAGTAACATCAAGAGTTTCACGTGCGAAAAAAAAGAGTCACTCGAGGTTGAAGAGAGAAGAGATAGGCATGCATTTTACCAAGGACACGACTGAGGAACGCGGGGCGGAAACCCACAATCCGGATCCCGAGCCTATCAACCCCTGAGCACTAGGTAATCACATCCGCGGTGTGAAGAAACACCTGAACATTGAATCGAAAACTATCAAGATGGCTCATCTGAACAAGGTTCAATAGTTTCGATTACCTCTATTGTAATTCAAATTGACTTCTTTGGTAAGATGCAACACCAGAGAACATTTTCTCGCCGGGGGGATCGGGGCGGGACATCGCGACCTCACTCGGCCGAGACATTTGCCCAGCCAGGTCACGAGAGAAACTCACGAGAACGGTGAACCCACATCCCGCTTGCGCGCCAACGGACTCAAGACGGAAATATCACGCAGAAAGTCCGACGGGCGGATTCACGATAGGACAATTTTCACAGGACATCTCGCCATCCGTCTCAATCGCGACTCTTGTCGTTTTTCTCACCAAGTAATTATTGAGGCACATTTCAAAGATATTGACTACATCGTTTCCAGTGTGAATTCAAGAAAGCTCATCAGACATTTAGTATTCAGTTCTCAAATACATTAACCATGAAACGATTAACCATTAGAAAAAATGGAATCCATCGTCAAGATCATCAAGAAATCATCCAGCCATTCTCAGTGAACGCCTCCCAAATAACCAAGAAATCTCCAAAAAGAAATCATGACACTCTAATACCGTTCCCATGAAACATATGGTCCGCGTACACTCATCGTCGTAGAATCATTACACGCACATCCCAAGTCATTAGTTGAAGAGACGCTTGAACACGCCCTTGATCCCTTTTGACTTCTCCTTCTCTTTAGCCTTGTCGTCCTCCCTCCTCCTGTCTTCCACACGAGCGCGGCGCCGAGAGTCGTCCGAGTGCTTTGATCTCGGCTTGTCGGCTGTCTCAGCTCTCTCAGCCCTCTCAGGTCTCTCGGATCTCTCGGGTCTCTCGAGTCTATCAACCCTCTCGCCCCTCTCGGTTCTCTCATGCCTTTCGGCCCTTTCAGCTGCTTTTGCGGCAGCCCGTTCGGCCTTCTCCGCAGCCCTGCGAGCGTCTCTGCGAGCTTCTTCGGCGACCTCGTCGCGAACCTTTTGCAGTTTGGCACCGCCTCCGCCTTCGGATCTGTCTCTGTGCCTGTGCTTGTCCCGCGTTGTGCTCGATCGCTTGGGAGTGTCGCGTGTGGGAGTAGACTCTTGTCGTCCTGCATTGTCATCCATTGGCATGTCGTCCTTTGGCGTGGCTGGCGCCGGGGGGTCCTGGGGAGGAAACTTGGACCCGGTCGTACCTTCGCCTCTGACGCTGAAGAATCGCCGGGGCTTCTCTGGCGCAGGCTCCATGGATTCTCTCTTGCTGAGGGTGCGGTGCGGGCGCTGATGCTCTGACGTGCTGTGGCGACGAGAGCGGTGATGACTGCGCTCGGGCGTATCCTCAGGTTTGGCGATAGTCTCGGGCTCCTTGCCCTTGCGACGCGAACGCTCTCTTTCCTCGTTCTCGCGGTTGACCTCACGTTGGAGTTCGCGCTCGCGCTCCTTTTCGCGGTGCCTGTCTTTCGGTCTGTCACGATCGGCATCGCGTTCGCGCTCTTTCTCCCGGAGTCGCCGCTCCTCTTTGCGTCGATCATGGGCAGCCTGCTCCTCAGGCGTACGCTCACTGCGGTGGTGGTGGTGGTGACTTCTCTCACTTTTCTCGGTCTTCTCGCTCCGTTCGCTTCGCCCACTCCGCTCGCTACGTTCGCTGCGATGACGGGACTGGGAATGAGGATGGGGGCTCTCTTCGAAACCGCTGTCTTGTCTCTTGATAGGGCCTGGCGGAGTTCGAGGCACGGATTCGCCGGATCGGAGAGATCGCTCGCTGTCAGTTCGGTTTCGTCGACTTGAGTGATGTGATGTGTGCGAGTGGCGTCTGCTACTCTCGTGGTCTCTGCTGTCGTCTTCGCCTCGGCTACGGCTTGAGAATGATGAAGGATGATGGGTTGAGGAATGGCGTCGTCGTCGGTGCCTCTCGCGCTCTGCTTCCTTCTTCTCTGTAAAGTAGTTAGTATCAAGCCTGCTAGTTTTATCCGCTCCCGTAGTGGTAGTACTCCTGCGTCTGGAAAGAAGGCCTGGTAGAACCCTCCAGAAAAAGGCCTTTTTCGGTTTGATGTCCATTTTCTCCCAGCTGGGCATTGCCTTGATGAGTTGCGAGCTGCTCTGAGATGATGGGCTCATGGGTGGACGAAGAGTTTCGGCTGTGGCGTAGATGACCACAGCAGCCGCGATGAGTTCCTCCGCTTGCTTGATGGAAACCTTGCGCTGCCGTCTGAGAGCCCTCGCCCTATCCTTGGCGGCCGGTGACATGGAAAGCTCAGGGAGAACCACGGCGGGAGTCGAGGGCCGGAGGCTCCATACTGAGCCATCGGTTTGCGTTCCGCAGTCCGAGAATCCGTCTCGCTGCACGGGGCTGAAGTTGGCGTCCACGTCCGAGTCCTTTTGGTCCGCCATGGTGATTGTGTCCAGGGCCGATATATTATCCAAAGTCTGCGTCAATTTGTCCGATGAGCTGCGACGTGACATTGCGTCTGCTGCAGCGGGACCGGGTGCTTCTCTAGCCGTAGCTTCGTCGTCTGAGTCTTTGATAGCATTGGCAGCAAACGAGCCAGCTGCAGCAGCAACACCAGCGACGGCGGCTCCAGCAATGAGTGCGTCCTTATCAATTGTCTCGTCGCTATCATCAGGCTCCGCGTTGTCATCCGGTGTCTGTACTGTTTCTTCGGGTCCATTGGCGTTCGCCTCTAGAGTTGATGCCTCCTCAGTTGCGTCGGGCTCTGCAGGTTCTTCTGCAGGGGCGTCTTCAGGAGTGTCATCGGGGTTGACGGGAGCTTCTGAGGCGGGTTCTTCGGAGGCTGCCGGTGTATCTTCGGGTGCGTCCTCAACCTCTATAGGCGCGGCATTCTCCGCCTCAGGAGAAGGCTCCTCGGAGACAGGTTCTTCAGAGACGGCTTCATCAAGAGCAGCAACTTCGGGAGCAGGCTCTTCGGGAACAGCTTCTTCTGGAGTAGGTTCCTCGGCGACTGCCTCCTCAGGCGCAGCTTCGGGAGTGGGCTCTTCAGGGGTAAGCTCCTCAGGAGTAGACTCAGGAGTGATTTCTTCGGGCTCGGCAATGACTTCTTCAGGAGCAGCTACTTCGGGATCAGGCTCTGCGGAGGCGACCTCTTCGGGGACGGCTTCCTCAGGAACGGCTTCTTCGGGAGAAGTCGCTTCAGAGGCAGGCCCCTCTGGAGAAGGCTCCTCAGAAACGGCGTCCTCAGGAGGTATCTCGGCTGCTGGGGAGTCTTCTGGCGCGGCTTCTGGAGTAGCTTCACCCAGAGTCGCCTCCTCGGGGGCAGGCTCTGCTGGTGCAGAATCAGGTGTCGACTCTTCAGGAGAGGCATCCTCCATGGTGGGCTCTTCGGAGACGACTTCTGGTGCAGGCTCAGCGACGGACTCCTCTAAGATGGCCTCTTCGGGTGCAGATTCAGCTGGAGTCTCTGGTGCTTGGTCTGGCTCTTCTGGTGGAGCTTCCTCAGCCGCTGGCTCCTCGGGCACTGCATCTGCTGGAACCTCTTCGGAAGCGGCGGCGATCTCTGTGGATGTATCTTCGACTTGCTCGGGCTCCTCTGCTATTGTCTCGGGAGCAGTCTCAGATGCAGGAGCCTCCTCAAGAGGCGGCTCCTCCACGGCCAATTCTTCTACTGTAGCTACAGGCTCTTCGGGTGAAGCTTCTTCTGGAGTAGGTTCCTCAGCGACTGCCTCCTCTAGCGGAGACTCAGTTAAGATGGTCTCGTCGGAAGCAGGTTCGGCTGGAGCTGTCTCTTCTGCGGGAGCTGGTTCGTCCGATGCTGCTTCAGTGGGTTCAGCCTCGACAGTGGTGTCTTCGAGGGCTGGTTCCTCCAAAGGCTGCTCAGTGGACGTTTCGTCTGCGGCGACTTCAGCATTGTCTTGATCTGGTGATTCGGTCTCTTCGACAGAAGGCTCCTCAACAGATGGTGGTGACGCTTCATCAGTGGCAGATGGTAGCTCGTCCGAGGGTGGTAGGGCAGCTTCCTCAACAGCAGGCTCTTCGCCGACCGCATCTTGGCTCTCCTGAACCTCGGCAATTGGCTCTTCCGGGGCGTCTCCTTCGGCAGTTTCGGCAGGCATCACTTTCTCGTTCTCGTCGACGGGTTCCATGGATTCCGGCTCCGGGGCGTTGTTTTCGGCAGGCTCCGCGACGGGTTCCGGTTCGACGTCCTCGGGATCTTGGCCATCCCGTCCTTCCCGTGCCTCTCCATCGGGGGAATCGGGATTAGGAGAAGGAGGGGAATTCTCACCTGATTTCTCTGCCTCTCTCGCATCAGAGGCAATTGGTCCCACCCTATCCTTGCTTTCCTCAGCATCCAAAGACCGCGTCTGTTCACCATCTGCTGCCACCGCCACCGCCGCTCCCGTGGCTACTGCCGCCGCCGCCACTGCAGCCGCTGCGATTTCTGCAGTGTGGTCTTCTGTTTCAGCCGTTGCGGGTGCCTCGACATCTGCCTCGACAGGTGGCTCTGGCTCGGCAGGGGCAGGTTCTTCGACTGATGGGTCCGGTTCAGCAGCAGCCGCATCTTCAACTGCAGCAGACTCAACAGCTGCTTCAGCAGGCTCCTCTGGCTCAGCTGGTGCTTCTGGCTCAGCCGGAGCCTCTGGTTCAGCGGGAACAGGCTCCTCAACTGGCGCAGATTCTTCAACAGCAGCTTCTGCAGCAGCTTCCGGCTCCGCGGGCGCTTCTGTATCAACAGGTGCAGGTTCTTCAGCGGGAGCAGGCTCCTCAGCCACCGCTGGTTCCTCAGTTGATACGGGTTCTTCCGCTGGTGCAGACTCTTCGGCCGGGGCAGAAGCTTCAACAGCTGCTGGTTCATCAAGCTTCTCTGGCTCAGCGGACGCTTCTGGTTCAGCGGACGCTTCTGGTTCAGCGGGCGCTTCTGGCTCAACTGTTGCCTCTGACTCAACAGGCGCAGGCGCAGGTGCAGGATCTTCTGTCGATGCAGGTTCCTCAGCAGGCGTAGGCTCTTCAACCGGTTCAGCCGCGGCATCTCCATCGGGGGCCTCGGCCTCCTGAGCAGGCTCAGCTTCCGGTGCTGGCGTTTCCTCAACTGCGGCAGCGTGATTCGCCTCCGCGAGAGCTTCGGCGAGTTCAGGCTCCTTTGTCTCTTCCGCAGCTGGCTCAGACACCGGTTCAGGCTCCGCCTCGGCAGGTTCCTCCACCGCAGCGGGCGGATTGGGTTGAGCCTCTTCGGTTTCAGGAGCGGCCTCGATTGGGACGGCAGGCGGCTCAGCGGCGGCATCCTTCGCCTCCTCGACAACCTCGGTCTGGGGCTGAGGATCGTTGACTTCAGCTGCGGCAACTTCTACAGCAGCGGTTTCGGGTTCTTTGGCCTCTTCGGTCGCTGCTGGCGCCTCCGGCTCTGGAACCGCGTCCGTAACATCAGCAGCTTCTTCAGCCGGAGCAGCATCGGCCGGAGTGGGTTCCGATTCAGGTTCAGACTCATTTGACTCAGGAGCAGGAGCAGGATCAACGGCGTCTGCAGCAGGCTCCGCCTCTGTAGTAGGTTCCGCCTCAGCCGCGGGCTCTGCTTCTTTGGCTTCTGCCACTTCGACCTCAGCTTCAGTTGCTTCAGCTTCTTCGGCAGGGGGAGCAGGGGCAGACTCGAGTTCCTCAGCCACTGCCTCAGCAGGAAGTTCAGGTGCGGGCTCTTGAGTTTCGATAGCCGCTTCCGCTTCAGGAGCAGCCTCTGCTTCAGGAGCAGCGGCGGGCTCAGCAGCGACCTCAACCTCAGAAACAGCCTCAGTCGCAGGAGCGGCATCAGGCTCAGCCGCAGCCTCACCCTCAGGTTCCTTGACGTCTGCTTCAGTCACAGCATCAGTCTCGGATTCTGCCTCTTTTACATCAGAAGATGGCTCAGCTTCCGCAGCGGATTCCGCCGCAGGCTCGGTAGCAGGCTCAGCGGCAGGCTCTTTGACTTCATCGGCCACAGTCTCCGGAACAGGCGCTGCCTCCTCTAGCTCAGCAACAGCGGGCACGTCGGCCTCGGGCTCGTCTTTAGATTTGGCGGCAGGATCTGCTTCAGCAGCGGGTTCAGCTTCAGCAGCGGGTTCAGCTTCGGGGATAGGCTCAGCAGCAGGATCGACCTCCTTCGCCTCAGAAGAAGCTTCAGGGACAGCTTCTGCTTCGGGCTCCTTGGTCTCCTCGGCCTCAGACGCTGCCTCAGCTGGTGCCGTCTCCCCTTCAGGCTCTGCTGCTGGCGCTTCAGGCTCAGGATCCTTAATCTCAGCATCACCCTCGACCTTGGCGGCTGGTTCGTTGTCATCCGCGGGAGCAGCTGCTTCGGGCGCAGGCTCCGCGACCTCAGCCGCGGCGGAGTCTTCAGGTTGAACCTCAGATTCGGGAGTAGCAGCAGCAGCAGCAGCAGCAGCAGCATCAGCATCAGGAGGCGCCTCACCAGCATCTTCGGCCGTCTCTGCAGCCGTCTCCGGAACAGGTTCTTCAGGGGCAGGAGCAGAGGTCTCGGTGGCGGCCTCGGCCTCGGGCTCTGGAGCTTCCACAGTTGGCGGCTCAGGTTCTTGTGCATCTGGAGTCGTCTCCGGTTCGAGCTCCTTGGCATCCGGGTCCGGGTCCGCACATGGGACTTCGTCGTTAGTCTCGGGAGTCGACTCCGGTTCTGCCTTAGCCGCGGGCTCCGGCTTGGGATCCTCAGCAGCGGCAGGTGCCTCTAGCTTCACAACTGCAGTCTCCGCGGTGGTCTCGGGCTCAGGTACGGTTTCCGTCTCGGCAGCTTCGGCTTTGGGCTCCTCAGGATTGGTTTCGGGCTCAGCAGGATCGGCGGGCGGTTCGGCTGGGGTCTCCTCGGGAGCTTTTGGCTCGGTCTCCACTTCGGCAACGGCGGTAATCGGCTCCTCCGGGGCGGGATCGGAAATTGCCTCTTCGGTTTTGGCATCTTCGGGCGTGGCTTCGTCTTCAGCGGCAGGTTCTGTTTCTTCTTTAGTATCCTTGGTCCCTGGGGAGAGAATGTCCACGGTGAAACTAAATTCTTTGCCGTCGCTGATGATTTCGTATCCGTCCATACCTTCAGTTGAGACAACTGCGTCGTCCGTGGCGGCGGCATCCCCAGATGCATCGGCGACAGCAGCGTCTGCGGTCTCGATATCGGCTTCCTTAGGGGCTTCTGGAGCGTCCGCTGGGCTATCCTCTGGTGTGGCGGCAGCTTCGTCCTCTTTCGGTGCCTCTGGCTCGGCTGCAGCTGGCTCAGCTTCCACTGGTGTAGTCTCAGGAGCAGTGTTAGGCTCAACAAAAGCCTCAGTTTCGGCGTCCTTGGTAGCATCAGCTTCAACTGCAGCTGTCGCTGCCTCGGTTTCGGCCTCCGGAGCAGCCTCCGGAGCAACCTCGGGAGTGACTTCGGAAGCAGCCTCAGGAGAAGTCTCGGGAACGACCTCAGCAGTGCTCTCAGAAGCGTCTTCAGGGGCCGCGTCAATAGGAGCCTCAACCTCTGTTGCAGCTTCCGCAGCAGGCTTCTCCGTAGCTTCAACCTCAGGAACCGCGGCAGGCTCATCTACGGCAGCATCATCTGCCGCAGCTTCCACTGCTGCCTCTTTAGGGGCATCACCTTCAGCCTCGACTGGCTCAGAAGCCTCTGGTTCAACGCTTGCAACGCCATCTTCTTCGTCCTTGGGAGCCTCCCCCTCAGGTTCTGCAGGAGGGCCGTCCTCTTCCTTGGGAGCAGGAGATTCCTCCTCCTGCACAGGTTCTGACTCAGGCTCTTTTGTCTCTTCGGCAGCTGTCTCGACCGTCTCCGGAGCATCGGGCGGGGCATCATCCGCGGCCTCGGGCTCTGATTTATTGGGGGGTTCAGGTTGAGCGCTCTCTGCAACCTCCGTCGAAGGCTCGGCATCGTCAGCCTTTGCTGTCTCGACGACAGGCTCAGGAGCGCCCGCAGGATCAGCGTCTGCTTCGACTGGTGCCTCGACCGCCTCAGCGACCGGAGGCTCGGCCTCGGTCTCTGCCGGCTGAATTGCCGAGTCGGCTTCCTTGTCTGCAGCAGCAGGCTGCTCTTCGGCCGGCTCGGTCGCAGTGGCTGGCTCAACGGACTTTTCATCAGCACCAACAGAAACTGGCGCATCTTCGCTAGTCGAGGCAGTCTCTTCTTGTGGTGCTGTTGGTTCTGCCTCCACGGTGGTGTCGTCAGACTTGGGCCCTTCAGCATCTGAATCAGTGGTTGTTGCATCTTCTGGGATAGCCGCAGGTTCGGCTACAGCAGGTGCTGCGTCTTCCTTGACGTCGGCCGTCTCAGCCGGGGAAGATTCTTCGCTTTCAGCTGCTTCAGCTGGAGCATCAGGTGTCTCAGTCGCAACCTCTGCAGGTTTGGGGGTGTCAGCCGGAGCATCAGGTACTGGTGCTTCGTCTGAGGCAGCGGGTACTGGTTCAGATTCTTCGGGCTTCACAGCATCATCCGCGGGAGCATCTGCCCCGACGACTGCGGCTTCGGCTGCATCCTCCACAACTGGCGTCTCAGCCGCAGCTTCAACCGGGACCTCTTCTGATGACACTGCTTCTTCAGCTGCCGGAGTTTCGGCGGCCACTTCAGCCGGAGCATCAGCGGCATCAATCTCAGCCGGTCCAGGCTCGGCTGTTTCAGCCTCTTTGGCGACCTCGGAAGGAACTGAAGATTCCTCCGTCTCAGCACTGGCCTCCGTCGAAGTAGTTGCCTCCGTCGATGCTTCTTCCGGCATTGGCTCCTCGGAGGTCGTTTCTTCCACTGCCTCAACCGAAGGCTCGGCTGAGGGGCCAACTGGAGCTGATTCATCAGATGCTCCGCCGGCAACGGGTTCGGCAGCCGGTTCTTCGGAAGAAGGAGCATCCTCAGTTTTGGCCTCGGAAGTTTCTTCGGCCGCAGGGGCAGCAGGAGCAGGGGACTCCTCAGGCGAAGCCTCTACATGTGCCTCCTCGGGGGCGGGGTCCTCAGGCTTGGCATCGGCAGCAGCAGGTTCTTCCGCAGGCGCGGATTCTTCAGCTGTGGTGTCAACCGGGGCATCAATCGGAGCATCTGCAGGAGTATCGGCAGGAGCATCGGTAGCAGGCCCATCAGCAGCGGCAGCGTCATCCGAATTAGCCTCCTCTGCGACATCTGCAGCAGGCTCGGCGTCAACGGAAGCTTCGGCCGCAGGCTCCGCAGGGGCAGCATCCTCTGGTTTTGGCTCTTCTGAAGTCTCGGTGACGGGCTCATCCGCAGGAGCAGCGTCCTTCGGCTTATCTTCAGCTGAAGTCTCAGTAGCTGGCTCTTCAGCAGCGGCAGTCTCTTCCGGAGCTGGCGCAGAATCGTCAGGTTTTAACTCGACAGCGGCCTCATCAGCTGCTTTCTCCTCGACGGGAGCAGCGTCTCCCGACTCAGCTTCGACTGTGGCATCAGCCGCAACATCCGCAACAGGTGCAGTCTCTTCCGATACAGGCTCAGCTGAAGGCTCACTGGCGGGCTCCTCTGCTGGTGCAACAGTCTCAGGCTCTGCATCAGCGGGCGCGTTAGGGGTCGACTCCGAGACTGTGGACTCCTCGGGCTTGACTTCATCGGTAACAGGTGCAGCATCCTCTAGTATAGGTGCGGACTCTTCGGACTTTTCCTCTGCTGGCGTCTCTGCGGTTGTTTCGGGGACTGCATCAGCAGGTGCATCGGCAGGAGTTGCGTCTCCAGGCTTGCTGTCCGCTTCCTTGTCAGCTTCGGCTTCAGCCTGTGCCTCAGTAGCCTCGGGAACAGCTTCGGCAGGTGGTGTGTCTTCGGTCTGAGGTTCCGCTGCAATAGGCTCTGCTTGAACTGTTGTGGGCTCTTCAGCTGCAACCTCCTCAGTGGAAGCTTCAGGTGTAGCCTCTGTTGCCTCGGGGGCCACTTCTGCTGGTGTATCGGCTGCGTTGTCTTGGCTGTCTTCTGTTGCAGCTTCAACAGAAGCTTCAACAGGAGATTCGGCGGGAGCTGGATCTACAACAGCCGACTCCGTTGCCTCTGCAATGGCCTCAGCAGCGTCTGGCGATATTTCCGTCGCTACCGTGTCATCGACTTTGGCGTCATCCAGGCTTCGGTTAGCAGCCGCCTCAAGTTCAGCTTCGACGGCCGGCGGCTCCTCCTTCGCCTCAATGATGGTCTCCGGAGGCGGAGCTGGAGCTTCCTCCATCTTTGGCGGTTTGGCGTCCTCTACCGGGGGTGGTGGCGGCGGAGGGGGGATCGATCTTGAGCTCTCGACCGGCTCTGGTTCGGCGTCTTTTCCGCCCTTGCCCTTCTTTTTCTTCTTCTTTTCTTTCTTCTTGTCCTTTTCCTTGTCCTTTTTGGAAGATTCCTTCGTCTTCGTCGGAGACACGGGTGCCTCCTCTGCAACGATCTGTTTCTCTTTTATCGGTTCAGGCGTAGGCTCGGGCTCGGGCTCAGGGTCAAGCTCGGGTTCAAGCTCAGGTTCCGGTTCGGGCTCGGCTTCTACGGGTGGCGGAGGCGGAGGTGGCGGAGGTGCAGCAATTTCCTCCTTTTTGCCCTTCTTCTTCTTCTTCTTGTCCTTTTTTGAGGATTGTGTCGGCCACTCGTCTTCGGCTATACCGTTGTCTTGAGGCGGTCCAGGCGTGGGAAGCTCAGGGGCGACAGCCGATGGCTCTTCATAGGTGTACTGTGCTGCCTTCTTGTCCTTCTTTGCCTTCTTCTTGCTCTTTTTACTGCCGCTGCTGGCTTGTGCAGGTTGTGAAGGATACGTCACGCCATTGGCATATACGTCGCCGTCTGTAAGATGAAGGGGTTAGGCGTGCTAATGCAATACTCAAAGCGCAATCTAACGTGACTTACCATTTTCCAGCTCTGAATCTGAAGGTTGGAAATACTGGATGTTGGAGAAATCTTGGGTTTGGACATGGTTCCAATCAAGGTTCTGCCGGTAGGGGCAGAAATCGACTGGTTCTTCCGAATTCATGCTTCCAGGACTCGTGGATTATGGGGGTCCTTGTTTCGCAAAAGTTGATCAATGCTGATCCGGGGAGATGGTCTGATGTTGTCTTTGGCGCACGTGGACGGCTGTCGTTGGCGAGAGATGAGATTGGGAGTTCTTTTCTTGACAAGTCCTCAATTTTCTTGTGATAGTGCGGTGCCCAAGCCGGAGTAAGAAGTTCGAGTCTCTTGGGCTGGTATCGCGAGACTCAAAAGGATGTATTGTGAGGTATCTTGTCGCCTGTGAGACCGTGTTGTGGTGTAAACAACAGACAAAAGTGCAATGGGCAGTTATGACAAGGAAGCAACAGGTTTCTTGTCTCGGCTTGACACTGGATAGAGTTGAGAAATAAGGGACCAAGAGTGACGAGATGCGTCCCGACTACGACCATCCCAGGAGGACACAATTGGGCTAAACTGTGGGAAGAAAAGTAGATTCTCGAGAAGCAGGGGGGAGCTTTCCCAGCAGTGCCAAACATCACAAGCATCACTGGTCTGTAGCAGGGTTCAAGGTGCGGGAGTAAGGGGTCCCTGGCACAGGCCTACCCCACGCTGTCCCCACGAATGGAGACAAATTGTGGCAGTCTCAAAGTCCAAGTGATCACTGTCGTGCGTGCTTAAGGGCCATTGGCTCAAGTGAGGCGGAACAAGCACTGGCGCCACGTCGCAATTGGGTTGAACTGGGGAGTGCGGTTTCTGGGATTTGGGAGCTTGAGTGATGTGATAAATGATGTGACAAGAGGCGAGGCAGAGGAACAGAATTGGACCTGGGACATCAGACGGACAAGGAGACAAGGAGGAGGGTTGATGGCTGCCCAACGACGATGCGATTGGAAGCGAGCGGCCAACCCGCATAATGAGACGGGCTCAACCAGGCCGGGCATGAACGTCGGTGATTTTTTCCCGGGATATGTGGTTTACTTTTTGTGGTCTTATCCCTTTTCGTGGTCTCATAGGGCCGTACCTAAGTCTCAAGATGACATACCGCTACCGCCGTACCGTCGAAGTCCATTGATTCTATCGGATGAGTATTGTCGCTTGACTTTTATCTATAGAAGCCAACATCATTGCGGATGCCATGGGGGAAAGAAGCCTACGGGTCAGTCTTTGCGGTGAGGCATTGGAATAGACCGAGAGACCACAAAACAACAAGGCGCAGCGCCTGTCCACCAATGATCTTCATAAAGCGACGATGGATGGATAGTACTGAGGAGGTCAAATGTATTCGTACTTGGCCTGAAAAGGGCTCGAAAGGGCTTAGACTCCCCAAGACTCTTCTGAGGACGAGGGAATTTTTTGGGTTCGATGAAGTGTCAATTGTCAAGCTTCCCTCCACTCAGCGGCTATGAGCTAATAATTGCTATGCTGCGCTGGTCGTCGATTTCCGGCCCAGTGCACTCGCACGCATCGGGCAGCCGGAGCAGGGTAGGTCGATGGGCCGGTCCACTAGGGCCAGGCATATCCTTGTATGCACAGGTACTCATCGCGCCTGGCGAGACATGAGGAAACGATTGCCGACGGAAAGGTGGTTCCTGGAACATAGTGGAGGGTAAACCCAACCTTCTTCCCGTCATTCGTGATATTCGAAGAGACTGAGGGTGGGCAAGGGAGAAGCCGCGGTCTGGCTGGAAGTAGTTAGACGGCGTCGAGAGGCCGTTATGATTGTGCACATGGCCACTCGCTGACTGGCACTTTCCTTCGATAGACGCTCACCGGCGGCTGGCATGTCAATGGTGGGGGTTGGAGTAGAGCGCGGTTTGTTTCTCATCGGCCATTAAACCCCCGGTCAGCGAGGTGCAACGTGGCTCGCCTGGGTGAGGCTCGTCTGCGAAGATCCATGCAGTAGAGGCCCGGACCACGGCTGGCGGGAGGGGCGGATGTGACTGCAGTGACAGTGACAGTAGCACCAGCAGAAGAGTGGTGGGTTTGGATTGGGCGACGGCTTGTAACGGGCTGTTTTCTTCGGCTGTCTGCGAGGAAGTAGGGAGCAACGTCGGCGTGCAAATGCGAGGAATACAATGCCGCGATGACCATGTCATGTCAGCAAAGCGTCTTCCGTGGAACCACTTGCTGTGCCATCTAATGTAACCGCCGAATGGAGTGTTCGGGCGAAAATTTTGGTGAGAGGGAGTTGGTAAGGTGGGCGGAGGTTGGGCCGACGTCGATATGGGATGGGACGGGATGGCATGGCTCCTCCCGAGGTCAGTGTCTGAGAGGTGCAGTAGCCCAGTCTAGCCCGAGGAGATGCGTACATAGGTTGTGTGCCGCAACGATGGCGCCGGTGCGATTGGTGCCCTGCAAGAACCCGACTTGGTCCGACTACATGCCACTGGGCATAAGAGAAAGTATCAATGGGGCCGTACACGAGTCGGCGGTTGGGCGCTGAGAGGGCGGCAGGCAGCATGGCTGGTGGTATTGGGCGGACCTGAGGACCGATGATCGAAGACTGGTGACCGATGGAGAGAATGGGTTGGCAGCATCTGGGCTGGGGAAGCATCGAGGTTGCGAGGGAAGCCATCGCGATTCCGAGGCTGATACGTATACTGATATTACCAGGAAGGTCAAGTAATCGTCGGGTACATGGTCGTGAATTGAACGAGCTGTTGATCGATGTCGTGGACTGTCACAACGGGCGCTCAATTGCGGTGGATAAGGCTCATCGTCGATTGTTTTGTTGTTTATGCGAAAGAAGACCCATCCATGAAAATGTTTGCAGGGAGGCGGAAGAGGGAAGGCCAAGGGAAGAAATTGAGTTGGCAGTCCTGACTCCTGACCCGAGCTTTTGCCAGGAAGATGGTTTCACTTTCTTCGGGAAGGAAGCATTGGTCGCTGTCACGTCACAGCCAGCGTGTTGGGAATGACGTTGCTACACTAGGTACCTTAATGAGAGTCACTAACGTGCCTGCCCTCACCGCTGGGAATTTCGGTGTAGCATGTGGCAGGCGCCAACACCTGCAACTTTACAGTGCCTGCCCTGGCCATTGATACCTCACGAGCCCACTTAGGTAAGCCCCAGCACCCTGGTAGAACCCGAACAACCAACGACCGGCCTTGAGGCCTGACTCTTTGAGTTGGCGCATTCCAAGGTTTGGCTCTCAAGAAAAGTTGTGAAGCCTGTCCATAGGTGCTCAAATAAGCCGCGTATGTGGGACTCGATAAGAAGCGTGTATCGGTGTCCCCATCACAGCCCAATATTGTAGGCAAATTCGCCATGACGGTGATGGAAAATACTTTCAAAGCATCTCGAAAAAAATCCACTCTTCCGGCCCTCTATATTCTCATTGTGCTAGGCCTCCGAAGGCTCTCCTGGCAGCCCAACCGCCCTAAATTTCTGGTGCTTCCATCCGCAAGACACCACAGAAAACTCCGGTGCCCGTTGACCGAGCTTGCATTGATCGTGTAAGAAAGTCTCATTTGACCTCTTACGATGACCCAGCCCACATTGTGATCACAATGATCAGGTCCCGGATTCACATCAAAGATCCTGTCATAAATCCATAGAATTACATGAGTCGGAAAGAGGCAGCCGAGTGCTCCGCAGAATCGACACCCGCCACCTACCTCAACACAGCAGGTCCGTAACAGTGCCACGGAGGGCAGAGTGATCGTGGGCCACCAGTACTCCAGCTCGCGATCGGTCACTCCTGACGACTGGCGGTGTGCCGAGACACGTGAGGAATGGCTCCTGTCCCGGTCCCGGTCCGGTGGGGACCTCTTTGAGACAGCGAACTTGGCACTGCCGGTGGGCCGGCGACAGCATGTCTCGCCCGCTTCTCGCCCGTTTGCTCACCGGACTACACATCGTTCCAACGCGGCAGCGCTTCCGATGCATTAGTCCCCACGTATCTTGTCTTGTCCGGCAAGGGAAAAGGCTCCAGTGCTGCAATAGCTTCTCAACAACAATCAATATGTCTTCTATGAAAAAAGTGAGGTGTGCGTAGTACTCGTAGACTGTAAAAAGTGCCACTCCAGCAAACCAGAAAAGCTTGTCAAACTCCCTCCCATCAGCTTCCGCAACCGCGAGATTCCTATCGAATGGCACCCACGTAACCCAAAACGCCAACGCCAGTAGACAGGTCTGAGAAAGAGGGGCAGGTAGCTGAGAAACATGTGAAAGAGGACCGCTTCGGAGTCGTATCCGTTGTTGGTAGTGAGCATGTTCGTGTATATCGAGTGTGTCGTACGGTATCCACTTCTCTGGGCAGCTGTGATGTTCGACCTGCTTATCCCATCGCGCCGCAATTCTCATGCAAAGCCTCTAGAAGCTCCATCCCGAACCAGGAATGCTATGCCATCGTTCTCGGCCATCCCCACAGGATCGCCTCACACCTGACTCCTTTACATGGCCATCTCCGCCTGCAGCTTGCGGAGCTCGGCTTCTTCGTCGTCCTCTTCGACAGCTTGCGCCTTGCCTTTGACTGAATTATCACGTCAGTACATCACTCTTATCATGATCTCAGAACGTGGGATCTCCTTACTTGGTCCGTTCGCGGCGGCAGGCATCTGGTGAACGCGGTCTGACACAGGCACAGTGCCAGTGCCCACCATTTGCTCGTCCAAAGCCTCCTGCTGCATTTGATCCAGCTCATCCTCCAGGTCCTCGTCGATAATGTTATCGGTCTGGCCCGTTGTGATAGCGTTGACAATTTCCTCGCTAAGCGCATTTTGTTCGCGGAGATCCTCCCTGTTCTCGTAGTCAGCATTTGTCTTTCGCACTGGCTTACAACCTTCGAAACGTACATTGTTTGGTCCACCTTGTCCACGGTGAGCTTGCCGTGAATACCCTTCATGGCCTGGCCAGCCTTCTCCATCGCCAACAGCGTCTCGCGGTTGATATTCGCCGACTCGATAGCGTTGATTTGGGACTCGAGTGTCGTGATTTGCGAAATAGTCTGTTCGAGGCTGTGTTCGTGGCCCTTCTTGCGACGCAAGGCAGCCTTTGCGGCTATTACGATATCCCGTCAGCATCTAGTCTCCCCACAGTCTCGATTGCTCAGATAAGTTACCGTTCTTGTTTGTGTTTACGTTCTTCCTCGCAATAGTATCTTGTTCGTCCATCAACGTTTGAAGATGCTTCTCTCTCTTTTGCAGCATATCAAGCTGGACCCTAAGGCCGAGGATTGCATCTTTGGCATCGTTCTTCTTCTTGGCGCCACCACCACCGCCAAACCAGCCCCAGACGCCAGACATGATCAGACGTGTTGAAGTTTCGGGTTTGCTAGTATTAATCGAGTAAATCGAATGGATTCCGGTCGTTTATGAGGTTGTGCGCAGGCAGCGATCGTTCGAAGGCAGCCGTATTCCGGGGTTGCGTGGCACTCGACCGAAGTTTGATGGCGGGGTACCGAAACGGGAAACAAGCGGGCACTCGTCGTCGTCAACGAGCTGCAAATTTAGCGAAGGCGTACTGATAGGCGGAGTTGCCAGTAATTTCTATATCACGCGACGAACACCCGCGGCTCGCTCAAGTCAAGTTGTCGCCAAGTTGATAGTTGGAAGGCTGATAGATAGAGTCAGGTAGGTAGTCGGTAGGTAGGTATGATGCAAGCTCCCGACTGGCTCAGCGACGCCGTTTAGTGGGCAAGCGATGACGGTGGTTGTGCCCAGCAACAGCGCTGCCGCCTGATTTAGCCGCGGTTCAGCCGATCATGTGAGACGCCCGCGTGACAGGCCACCTTGGTGGTGACTTCCAGGGGCATCCAACCTGGTTGATCCAGATAAGACATATCTTATCACCGATAAGTACCTTACCTAAGGTAGAGTGCACGCGGCCCAGTGACCAAAGTTGCAGCCGCCAGCAGCTGTCGCCATTCACCGTTCCCTTCCGCCTCAGTGAGTAATTCGTACCTACCTTTATATCGTATAGGAAGGTAGCCGGGGAAACTACAAAGTTGATTTCACGCACAACGTCCTTCAGACATACACTACCCAGCAGCCTCAAATGATCGTTGTCTAAATCACTTCATCCACCACCTGACTGGGCCTTACCTTCGACTTGGCCAAGCAGTGATGCATATTGTTCGAGGCCTGAGCAACTAACAATCACCTAAGCCATGTCTAGAGGCCCGCTGCCTTCTCAGCTTTGTCTCTTGTCAGACTTGCCGGCTCGACCACAGGGCGATAAGGTCAGATTTCTCGGGTGGTAAGTTTTGATATTTTTCGCCCACTTCTGACTTTGATCGATGATTCGCTCTCGTCCTATGTCAAAAGTCGTCTGTTGGTAACCATACTAATTGCCATCAGTGTAACTGCGTACTCGACGCACTCAGCTGTGCTCACGCTAGAGCACAGCTTCCCCAAAGGATCCGATATCAGTGTATTGGTTGACATCCAACTCTTGCTCAGTACCATGACTTCAAACCAGACACGCATCGGCGAGTGGGTAAATGTGGTTGGCTATCTCACGCCCGCGCCCCCGGGAACGCGGGCCAAAGGGACGACCCGTGAACCACGTATAGCCGCCGTCCAGGCAATCATGCTCTGGTCCGCTGGCCCTCTCAGCCTTCAGCGATACGAAGCTTCCTTCGCAACAAGTTGAAGTAGAGTCTAGATGAATCCATGCCACCCGTTGGGGAAGACGAGGCACACTATCTACTACCATAAGCTGCCGCCTGACCTGAGAGGAAGCGGACATTGGCTTCGGTAACAATGTAGGCAGACGTGTCATGCTCACTACCGCACCCAGGCTCCCGTGTCTCGTCCAATTCGTCACGCATGCCACGAACCAACAGGTATGGATAAGAGATCTTACATTGGGACTGAAGATGGGCTTTTCTTTCAGCATTCGCGACCGAGCACGGTCCGAGCATCATGTCAGCCACGCCATCCTGTCAAAGGTTTCCATTGAACAAACATTCTCGGCCCGCATGAATGTGCTACTAGCTCACAGCGACGATTTGGTCCGGTATAAATGCACCTTGTCTATTCTGGAAGGCAAGCACACGCCAATTAGGTATCTGGTTGAGGAAACGCGTGCTCATGGCATTCGCTGGCGCTGCACTCTGATGCGCGCCTCTTGCAACAATTCCGCATACACATACCAAAAAGGAGCAGCGCGTAAAGGACCTCGGAGATTTTGCTGTTACCATTGGACCCCCCAAAAAAATGCCAGATGGCAGACTACTGCTGGGTGATTTCGGGACACATACTCTTCTCGTCCCAATCAAACAAAAATCTGGTTATAATACTGCTTCGTTTCGCCTGACGCCCATCCAGTCAAAAGAATGAGTGTTCGGTCGGGTCCACCGTTTGCTGCGGCCACCAGGCCACACAACTCGACCCCCCTCACAAGAGACGCGACCTTTTGCGCATGCCTCGAATCATCGAATCCCACAAATTCCTTCCGTATGCATGAAAGGGCTAACCTGACCGCCTGCAACGCCTTAATATTCAAATGCCTAGATCCAAAGACCTGGCCCAATGCGAGATCTCATTCACCACAGTCGACTCCACCGATCCACCCGACTTCACTCCCGCCGCCTGTCGTCGTAACGTCGATGTCGCTCGTGGCTTCGGTGTGCGTCATGTCTCCTTTTTGACGAGTCGTTTGACCCTCGGGATATCACCACCGGCTGATGCAACGGTCTTTTGAGGGGCTTGTCTGCTTCTTGGGCTCTAATGGCCGCCTGGCGCTCCCATATTTCTTTGGACTTCCTACAGATATCGTCGATCTGCTCCTATATGCAGAGACGATGATCAGCAAATTCTGCACCGCTGAAGAACAAAAGATGGGGGAAAGAACCAAGCGGCAAGCTCACATCTGTCAAGCAAGGGCCTGGAGTGGTGATGAGGAATCCATCTTCTCCCTGTAGATGCTGTGAGAGGCGTCTCAGTCATCGTGAATGAGATATTCACACCTCATTTGTGTACGGCCTGACCGTTGCATCTGGCCCGAGATAATAGGGAAGCTCTTGAGTGATGATCTTCTTGTGAATATCCAACCGGGGAATCCAGTATCTGTTCATCTCTGTTGACGAAGGCATGGCAGATGTTTGGGCATGGAAAATATGAGCTGTCTGCCTGAGCGCATTGGACGAGCAAGATGGCGCAAGTCATCGTGAAATATTGGCGATCAGGAGGAAGAACAAGGTATTTATCTTCGCCAACAATGCGATGATTCGGGGTGCCAATCCTCGTACGCTGCAACGGAGTCGATATTACGAGTTCCCCAGGCATGTTATTGCACCAAGCAAGACAAAAGGAGCACTTTGTCTTGCCTTTTCGGCACAGCTCTTGTCGGTATCCTCACCGCTCCGGCTTCTCAGTCGTCAGAACCTGCCTCTACAAGGCCTGCATGCAAGGACAGACGCCACATACGGCCTTTGCAATGTCGGTTCTCACCAGGGTGGGAACCCATCCATCTGGGTGTGTTCCACCTTACAGGTTGGGGGTGGTGAGCCTGCAGGAGATAGGCAAAGTGAGGCGGACGGCGGCAACCCCATGACGGTTCGCCTCACACGTCCGCAATAATCCCGCCACCTGCAACCACGAATCACCGTCGGAAGTCGCTATATGCGTCGGAACGACCTTAATCGAGTCTTTTGATTCTCTCTCTACTGCACGCCCTTTTTCGAATGGAGTTTCTGTTGGCCATCATTCGCCAGTCACTTCTCGACTATGGATCAATTCGCTGCGAGATCCAGTGACGGGACTAGGCTGCAGTTTCTGCAGGTCCATCTCATCGCCATCTTCGTTTCCGGACATGCTGGAATGGGACCTACCCTCGTGGCTTCCTGGCAAATTCAGCTTCCTCCATGGATGAACCCTGGTGGGTAAGGTAAGGCGTCGGTGATTTCTGGCAGCCAAGCGGTGCAGATCATGTCGATCGCCGCTCGCGACTTCGAGGCGAGCATGCGGGGATGGCGAGCGTCTGCCAGTCATTGCTGACCAGGGTTTCTTATATATCTAGGATCTCGAGTTCTTCAACGATCCAGATGAACCCTGGACCCTTCCCTTTTCTGTTGGTCCCAGATTTTTGGAACACAAGGCTGCTGCGATCGTCGCCGTCAACACCAGATTCGTCGGCGCTGAAACTGCCGGTGAACAGTAATCATAAACAAGTCATCATTTCGACAATACAGCCTTCAAGTTGCTGTAAAGTGGTGTGCACGATGATTTTCCAATCGAATCACACAGCTTCCGACCGTACCGATCGTAACACTATCCAGCATTATCGGTATCAAAAATGCGTCAACGGGGAACTAGAGAGCCCTTCCAGTACTTGACAGCCGAATACGAGGCTTTCCGGCCGGGCATGGCATAAGCCCGAAGATCGTTATAAGTCGTCTCCCTGCCCAGGATGGTCGATCTCTGAATCCTACGAAGAGGGGTTGGCCATCAGCCGTAGTGCCAGACGACTCTCCAGATCAACATGCCCGAGCCTGGCGACAAGGCGAGGAGCTGGTGTTGGCTCTTCTCCATCATACGATAATGCGGGCAGCATAGCATTGCACACCGAACAATGCGACGTCGTGCCAAGGACATGCTGGGAGATCCACTCTGCAGTACCCAAATAGGTTGATGCGACCCTTTTCGACATATTCCCAAGGCGTTCTTCAAGTTGACGCTCGTCGCGCAGACAGGACAATTGGATGTGCTCGCCAAACAGGCACTAGGGTCTGGAGGCATCGAGGCTGCAGATGACTGTCAGTCAAGGTTGAGCAGTGCTCTGAATCATTTCTGACTGCTCATAGTATCTATGCAGCTTTGGTCAGACAGTGTTACACATGACCTGAGAGCTTGGGCTCGATGAGCCTTACTTTTGCTCGCGCGACGTCAAGATTAACCCAATGTCCGTGGGTTGGTTGAGCCGCAGGGTCCAACTTACAAGGGCTTGTCCGTCTTCGATTGTTGGTCTGTGTGATCTTTCAGTGAAAGCAAAGTGGTGCACCTCATTGAAACAACTAGTTTGCGGGATGCAATGGTACCAATCCTCATCGGTTCCTCGATCTTTTGACGACGTCCCATTTTTCCACATACACGCAAAAACACATCTCGTTTCCGAACTCTAGGAGTGTCTGGACATGAAGGAAAAAAGTTCCGGCGCAACCTGCGACCTCGCTGGTATCTGGAGGCTGAGGTGCTAACCAGAGCTTCTGCGCTTGAGGGAGTGCTACATTCAATCACGACGTTTAGATGTAAGGAAGTAACACTGTCGCTGGTTGTCAGTCGCCGTGTAAAATCGCTGTACAATAAAGTCGCAAGAACCTTGAACGTAGCACATATCTTGATATTCATCCCCCGGCATAAGCCGAACTCAAGGATTGCAGGCAGAAACCGCATTGCGATACTGATACCAAATAAATTACCCGATCGAAACTACCAGTGACAGGGCATTCCGCAACGTAGGGTTTCTTGTTAGCTCAGTCGTAATTTGATCAGCTCTTACATGGCTTTTAGACGTATTTGATCTCCTCGTGGGCAAAGGCTTGATCAGTAATTTCGTCACTCCTGAACCAGCAGCACGCAAGTCAGCGCAATCGAAGAACTCGGTTCTCTAGGTCTAAGTCCAGCCGTCTTACGCGGCGGTAGGCTGAAGCGGTGCCGGTCACATCCGGTCACCGGGCCGGTGCCGCGACTCCACCCAACGCCATTGTCCAATCGGGCCGGACTGCGATCCGGACGGAGCGGTGGGCCGTGTCCTCGCCTTCACTTTCCGACTGACATGATGACATCGCGCGCCCTTGCGAGGTGGAGGCTACTTGCGTGTCGATAGCTTCATGCCCATAGCAGAAGACTGGTCAGTAAACGTTATTGTTCCAAAGTGCAGATAGAGCCGGTCTGTGGAATCCGGTGAAAGGTGGTAAATATAAAACGAGAGTTGCACTTTGGGGTTCAGCAGTCTATCGATTAAGCAACGCCGATCAGATTTGACCCCGCACAAGTACGCCCAAAAGATTGAATCCTATCAACAATAACAATAATACCGAAATCCATTCCACCATGACCAGCCTCAAAGACTTCCGCGTCCTAACCTTTGACGTCTATGGCACATTAATCGACTGGGAAACAGGCGCCCTAACAGCTCTTCAACCCCTCCTAGACGCGAACAACCGCACCGACTTCACCCGCAAGCACCTCCTGGACACCTACCACGAATGCGAAGCCGCGCAACAGGCCCAAACCCCAGACCTCCCCTACGCCCAGCTCCTCACCACGATCCACCCCCAAATCGCTGCCAAGCTCGGCCTCGCATCCCCGCCGCCGTCCGCCGAAGCCTCAAAGGCCTTTGGCGACTCCGTCGGCTCCTGGCCCGCGTTCCCGGACACGGTCGACGCCCTCCGCCGGCTGGGTAAGCACTACAAGCTCGTCGTCCTCTCCAACGTCGACCGGGACTCGTTTGCGCTCAGCAACGCGGGGCCGCTGGCGGGCGTGCCGTTCGATCTTGTTGTCACGGCGCAGGATGTCGGTTCGTATAAGCCCGACCAGCGCAACTTTACGTATATGCTGCGCGAGGTGAAGGAGAGGTTTGGGGTTGAGAAGGAGCAGGTGCTGCAGACGGCGCAGAGTCAGTTCCATGATCACCATCCGGCCAAGGAGGCCGGTATCAAGTCGTCTTGGATTGTGAGGCCTGGGGCGGTGATGGGGAATAGGGATCGCGAGGTGTTTGATTGGAAGTTTGATACGTTGGGGGAGATGGCTGATGCGCTTGAGAAGGAATTGGCTTGAAGCGGGATCTATGTATACATTGTATGACAGGATGTTCTGTTCAATGCCATGTTCAAGTGCCGTCCTACACGAGGTGGACTATCTACTACTTGGGTTTTGACATCTTGAAGCGTTGCGCCACTATGAAGTTGCAACAACGTACGCAGGAGTAATGGGCTCCATGAGCTCAATACCTTATCTTACTCCTCAATCTAGCCACAGTCTCTTGATCATCTCGTTAGAAGCTATCAAAGTTTGTTGTGAAAGACATATACGGTGTCTCAACTGCTGCAACAATCATGCTTTTCTTTTGCGAATCACTCAAAACCGATACGAGAAACTTGCACGCCGAATACCAAAGCAGGATGAAGATAAGATGCGAAAGAGACATGTGGAACAAAGGCTAGTCTAATAAATCATAAGTTAGGAAAATGCTTATACTCATCATCTGGAGGTAATTCGTTTCAGGTTCCAGAGTCGAAAGCCGGTCCGGCCGAGACCGGCCCCGCCAAGCCATCGGGTCCACTAGCCTATCTCCCACCGAAGCGGGGGGAACACGGGGGAATCCCAGGAGGGACTAAGAGAAACACCTCCTGGCTAGCAAAACATATCAATGGGATCGCTTCACGCTCAATTGAAGCCTCTGATATAGTCAGGATAAATCACAATTCAACCTGTAATTTTCCAATAAGTCATAACACTCATAGTCATGACGTCGGACCTGCTTGCCGGCTTCCCGGCAAACGCACCACCCAAACCCAAGACCAAACTTCGATTCGCAGATGTAAGTTCACGAGCCCCAAAGCCCCCATCACGAAACTACATGCGATTATTATCTGCCTACATCATGACTTCAAGTTAAATCTCACACACCAACACTAGGTCGCAGTGACAGCAACAGCAAAAGATTTCGCCGGCTTCTACAGGGGAAAACAATACCACCAACCAGACTTTGACGCCGTCCTCGACCGCGCCTCGGCCGCAGGCGTCGACAAGGTGATGCTCACGGGCATGTCCCTCAGCGACGCAGCCAAGAATCTCTCCATTGCCAGATCGCGGCCAGCGGGGACGTGTTTCGTGACGATTGGCATCCATCCGTATCACGCCGCGGAGCCCGATGCTGAAGAAGATGGCGGCGAGGAAGGTCATTTCAAAAAATTGGCAGAGGTCGTCCGCGAAACGTTGAGCTCCACATCGGAAGGCAATCCATCGCCGTTGGCTGCGTTTGGCGAGTTGGGGCTGGACTATGACCGCCTGAACCACGCGTCCAAGGAGGCGCAGATTCGTACTTTTAAGCGGCAGTTGGACCTTTTTGTCGAGGAAAAGCTGGATTTACCCCTGTTTCTCCATTGTCGCGCTGCGTACGATGACTTCGTGGAGATCATCAAGCTATACCTCCCTAACCTCCCCCGCCGCGGGCTGGTACACTCCTTTGTGGGCGCCTCGGCTCAGATGAGAACCCTGGTGGAGCTCGGCTTCGACGTCAGTGTCAACGGCTTCAGCTTCCAGGACAGGGAAAGCTTAGAGATGGTGCGCGATATTCCGTTGGAGCGCTTACAAATCGAGACGGATGCACCGTGGGGTGAGATACCGGCGGGCTCGGAGGTGGCGAAGAGGTATCTTGGTAACGCGTCGGCTTTGCCGCAGAGCAAGAAGAAGGACAAGTTCGAGTTGGGTCTCATGGTGAAGGGGAGAAATGAGAGTTGTACCATGGACAGGGTGGCTTTTGTCGTGGCGGGGCTCAAGGGGTTGGGTGTGGATGAAGTTGCTGATGCGGCCTGGAGAAACAGTGTCAAGATGTTTGGATTTGGCGAAAGCTAACACAAGATGAAGCGAAAGAAGGATCGAGCCTTTATTGACCACAATATGGTGCGTGATACCAGTCTTACGGAGCTATCTCGATCTTGAAGGGGGTTCTCCCGTCCATACTCATCAGAGTGTCTTTTCTACCATGCTAATCCCCTCCTTCTCGAGCAACTTGCGAATGGGGTCACAGATCTCTGAAGTGTAGGGTGCCAACACCCCCGGCACATTCAAAGCAGGTTCCCCGTCCAGTAATAGCTGGGTAGCAATACCGCAGGTAACACCTACGGTCCTGGCCATGGCTGAATGCCCACCAGGTTCTCCGAAGAGCTCCAGTGTCGATGTGATTGTCTCCTATTCACGCGGGTCACCGTCAGATTTTGACTTAATTAGAGGGGAGGGGGGGGAGTTGCGGCGTGCATGCTTACTCTACTACCATCTTTCCACTCAACAATGAACTTGTGCTGGAGCATGACCAGGTCTCTCTCATCGGGCTGATAGCTCATGAGCCTTTCGAGCTCCGCACACAGTGTGTCTAGGAGATTGCCGCGGAGGGTTGCCGGCTTGTCGGAAAAGAGCCCGATCCATCGCAGGCCGTCAATGATTCTGTTCCTCTCAGTGATGTCCGGAAATTCGCAAATCTCATCAATGCGGGTGGTAAGTGTCCTTTTTGATACATCAGTATTTCAGCCCGAACTAGTAGCATGTATGCTTGAATGACTTACTCTTCATCAGTCCCGGCAGCACCAACAGCCCGTCCGAAAACCTCCCGCAACATCAAGCCATCACTATCCTTCTCCAGCCATGTCAGTGGCTGCGTGTCCAGCAATTCGAGCTTCGTCAACGCCGCCACAAAAGCCGGGTTCCCTTCATACCGCAGCGACCCGCGCACAACCGTCTCCGCTTCAGGAATTCTGTAAAACTCCCGAAAAGGGACGGAGTTCCGATTCGGATATGCGAGGAACGAGTACCCATCCATCACGTGGTATGGTTTGGCCTGCTTCATGAGATCTTCGCGGGAAACATCAACGATCTGACCATTCTGGAGGTAGGATGCCGGGTTGAGCTGCGCAAGGAGCGAGCCTCGGGGCGACCAGGAGAATTTGAAGCGCAGGGGGTTATTGGAGCACTCTGGATCTGGGAGGCCGCCGGCGTACGAATGGAATTCCTTGATCTGCCGTTTGCATTGTTAGTCTGGTGAAAAAGGGTAGTGCGTGAGCATGTAGTCGGGTTGGTTGTACTTTTCCTCCCTTGCTATGAACTTCTTCAATGATACGAATAGCGTAGAGGTGGTCGATTCCTAGGGGTTCATGCATGAGCTTAATGATCTTTGGTGTTGTGAGAAATCATGTCCTACCAGGATCGAGGCCAACTTCATTCAAAACCGTGATTCCGGCAGCCTTGACTTCAGATTCCAATTCTCTCATCGCTGGAGACACGTAGCTCGTGGTCACGACGTGAGTTTTGCCACGTATGCCAGCTTCGACGACATTCTGGTGATGAATGAATGGGACAAGTGAAATTACCAGGTCATGAGATGCCACATGGCTATCGAGCTTTGGAGACGCCACATCCAGAGAAATAGCGCTGGCTCGAGGGTGATTTGACGCCAAACTTTCGGCTGTCGAAAGGGTTCGGCAAGCTGTTACAAAAGTATTAGTGACCTCTGATAGTGATTTCGAATGGAAGCGGAATGGAATACCTATTGTCAACTTGTTCTTCTCATTGCGAAGCAGATATTCGACACATGGCTTGGCCACCAGGCCGCTTCCCAGGATAAGAATCTTTTTTTCAGACATTCTATGGACGCGATTCCCAGTTCGTGAAGAAACAAAAGTAGTTGTTAGATCAGGTGTTTTCTTTGAAGCTGTTGTTTTGAGAGGATGAGAAGGAGATGAGCTATTCACATTACCGTTCTTATAAGCTTGGCCCTCGGTCACCTTGATATGTAGCCGTCCTCGCTCTTCACTCAAACTACCATCTTAGACTTGAGTCATCCGGCGAGGGAATTCGATAAGCCTCCTTGTCATAAGAAGCTCAAAAATTGCGACATTATTGTCTTGAAATGCGTAATTCGAGTGTTTTGCATATGGATTTGTCGGCTTCCAGCAGATTGATTGCGCAGCCAGTCTCATCGGCCGATCGGCCGACCGGGTTGCCTACAGTTAGGTTATACGATGCCGCTATCACACTTCGCGTCGCAAACTTCAGAAATCGCCGAGTGGAAACAGAGCGACTCGGTCGCAGCGAAGGACCTTAAGGTTGAAAATCGGACTCCTTACTAAGTCAATTCGAACTTGGGGCAGCGCCAGTAGCTGCTGATTAGACAACGAAACCGAGCGAATAAACCCATTTCAGATCTTCCGCATCCTGAACTCCTTTCTAAGGGAGTTTCAATCTGATATCACATTCTACTAATTATCGAGGAAGGAAATTGAATATTTGCCATAAATGGAAGCGTTCGTCTACATCTTGTTATATCTAAATTATTCAGACGTCTTTCGCGATGCGCCATGATCAACGAAGCAAAAGCAAAATCCAGTGCATAATTACTGAGTTGCTCAGAACTCTCAATGTCGAGCGCGCTGGGTATACCATGCCTAAGGCCATATGGCGAGTCAGACTGTACGACTTCTGGTATTCGTGTAAATCCTATCCAAGCTCAACTGGTGGCGGTGACCGAGAAACGTTCCCGTCTCCAGGTGCCTCTTGCACAGGAGGAGAATGGTATTTGGCGTCCGCAGCGATCTTTGGTGAAACTTGGATTTCTCCCTGACTATTCCCTTGATCACCAAGATCCCTATTCCCCCGGTATCTCCTCCTCGCCAGTAGAATTCCCGCACAAACGGATAAGCCTACTCCCAGAATGGCCCCGATAACGATACCAGCTATGGCACCTGCGCCGAGACCTTCAGTACCGGACCCGGGTGTCGAAGTAACACTCGCCGCCGTTGCTGAAGAGCTCTCCGATGAAGTCGTGGTTGCCGAATCACTAGTTGGCGAAGGAGTGAGGAGTGTTGAAGTTGAAGTGGACCCAGATTCACTCCCATCAGGTAGTGTGATGAAGAATCTTGAAGATTGAGCCGAAGTGCTCGTCGAGCCATCAACAAAAAGCCCAAGGAAATAGTACGTGTCGCTGGGCGGGTCGGTCTTCGAAAAGGCATAAAAGTCTACTGTCCAAGTGAAGGACTTGGATGAGATGCTCTCTAACGATATAG